CTAACGACAATCTGCTGAAATACAAGTTAGCCTGATATGTCATCAAGCAAACAAACGCTGAAGTTAATATTTGATATGCCGATTTTCGCTAATTTTAGACACATCCCAAAATATGCTCGCGAATTTGAACATTAATATCTCCGTGAATTTTTATGTAAAATACAACTGTAATAATCAAAATCTAAGTTAGTCCTTCCTCTATTTAATGCAAGTTATTTCTGTTTGATAGCTTTACTTGTTTAGAAGTTATTATAAATCAAACCGGAGTACTTTTTTTTGGGACACCCGGTAGATCAAAATTTAGTACATATATTACGCAAGTGGTCAATTGAAGTAAGGAAATATTTTAAATTAATATGAAGGATCAGTACATTACCTTCACCCCTTGTTGTGTTCCAGCGCTTTCACCTGGTGCTCCCTAAATATAAAAGTAAAATAAGAGGTTAAAAACAACTAATTTCGACAAACCCGGAGGAATGATCTGCAAGTAGTTTTTTTAAATTAATCACCTTCATTCCTCGTGGTCCAGGAAGACCCTGAAAATAATGCGAAATAAATGTTAAATATATAGCATATATTTGTCGAGCTTTTATATTGCCACTCTTTATAGTACTTAGAGTTTTACACGCATTTCTCATAAAACAGCGGGAAAAACGTTGCTTACGTTAAAGTTGCCTTTTTGAAATAGGACTGGGCAAGTAAAATAGGGCTTCAAATCGAGCTTAAGGCCGCAGACTAAATGAACCAAGTCTAATAAGTGATAAGTATCACTAAATAGTCACATGAAAATGGCGCATGCATACAGTGCGATTTCTGGTGACATTCAATAATATTACTATCCTGAGTCTAGGATTAATATTACTGGAATTTTGACACTCTAGAGTATTAAAGAAATATCAAATAGTTTTCCGTACAGGAAAGCGCCATCCGTGCACGCGGGATGTCGCGAGACTGCCGGAAGGCGTTAAAACAACACAAGCCGAAGCGAGTATTTTTTTACGCTTTCCGAAAGTCGAGCAACATCCCAATTTATGGATGACGCTATCCTACATGGAAAACCATTTGGTAATTATTTTTAAATTATTGATGAAATGTGCAATTCTCACAACAATCATGAACTAAATTATCGTTTCCGTCTTACCGTTGGACCAGATGTTCCTGGACCTCCAATTTGACCAGGAAGGCCAGGTTCACCCTGAAGTAAAGTAGTTTTCATTAATATTGAGATTAATTTTGAGTTTACGCGAATGACCATAAATTGCATTTCTTCATAGCAATTCTTCTCACTTTTGTTCCGTTGCATCCGGGATCTCCAGATTCACCACGGGGTCCATCATTACCAGGGATACCCTAAAGAAAATACAAAATAATTTAATTAACTACATTTACTTCTAATTACATTTTACTTTTATTTTATTTCATTTACAAATTTTCCATTTTATGGAGGCAAACTTCGGCACTTTCTCGATATTTGCACAACCTACTGTAAACTGATCTATTTGTATAGACCCATTGCGCATGATGTCACAGCGCCGGTGATGATGCATCTGGAGGACAAATTAGCAAATCTATGTATAATATAACTTTTGTAAACAAAGCATATTTTGTAAAACTTTATAATAATTTTGTATTAGAATGGTTAATTTGTCGCTGTATGTGGTTGTTGTACCCCAGCAGATATTGTTAGGGAGCACTCCGGAGGACACTCTAAGGATTTGTGACGCCAGTGCAATGGGTCTATAGGTAATAGCATGGTTTCGAGTGCAATTTGGATATAACATGCACAAGTGAGTTTTTCAAAGACCTCAAAGATAATTGTAGTTTGAACTTACGCGTTTATAGCGAACATTCCACTAGCAAAGTTTTCCTGGCTTTGTTATATCACATTATACAACGCTAACAGCTTGAAAATTCCACTCAACTATGCAATTTTTGTTAGTCTTGTTTAAGGTGAATGCTTTTCCATTTAAAAATAAAGATAAAAGTCACGCGAAGGCAACTTTTACTTTGTGTAGCACAGCGCCATGTTTGTTTTGTTTTGAAGCAATCTGTGACCGTTACTTCTTTAAACTAGATTGCTTTAAACTGATTAGTTGATTTAATCATCACAATGTTTTTCCACCAATCAGATCAGTTTGTTACAGATTTTTGCACTGTGATTACAAAAAATTGCACTGTGATTACAGAAAATTGCACTGTGATTACAGAAAAATGCACTGCTGTTTGGGATTAACTGCACTGAAATCAACCAATCACAGTTGAGTAATATCTTTATGTACAGGTGTATGTACCACAGAATACCGCAAAAATTTACATGTTCCATATCTTTCGTCTAATGTATATAATATGGTTCCTTGATATTTTTTAGTATAGTCTATCAATATATTTTTTCTTCCTGGAGGTTTTGGGGCAAGATTTCATAGACTTGATTATTTTTTTTAAAATGAATATTCTGTGGGGAAAAATCCAATGTACCACAGAATACCAGTGCAGAGGTAAGTAAGCAACGGTTTATCAAATTGTACCAGGATTTGGTGTGTCATGTTGTATGATAATACTGTGGGATATTGCTAACTTACAGTAATTTAGTGAAAGTTAAATACTAAAATCAGTACAGAATACCAGTGGTATAACCAAAGAATACCAGGTTTATCAATAATTTTGAAAAATTCAGTTTTTCAATGGTAAAATTGATTACACTGTGTGATTCCAGTGTACTGTAGTAATAATGTTGCATTGCATACAAAAAGTATTGATCAACATAAATTATGCTGGTTTGCGAACTTATTTTTTAACATTTGGATTTTATAGGCATTATGCGAAAAAAAAGTACCGAAAATATAGAATGTTAGTTTTTGTTAATCCTGATTATTTTTAAGAATTTTTAAGAAAATATACATTTTTTGTTTTTATATGTCAATTAAGACTAAAACTAATATATAATCACAAAAATAAAGTTTATAGCATATTTCCTTCAAATTTTATATAAGAAATAAATAAGACTGGTATTCTGTGGTACCGTGGTATTCTGTGGTACATACACCTGTATAGTATTATATATAAAATAATATTTATCGTCAGGGTTAGGTTTAGGGTATATAGAATTGTGCATATATCTAGAAAGCGCCCAAATTTGTAATACATTGTATACACATCAAATTACTTTAAATTCACATTCATTTTTGTAGAACATCCTATCTATTCATCTATCACTAAATTTCCAAGTTTTGTAACTATAACTTAAAGAAAACACTCAATCTACACCACTTTTCAAAAACAGTCAGCTTGCTGTACTCATCATAACATTGCTTGGAAAATCATGAATAAACGTACCGGATCTCCAGGTCTTCCATTGAATCCAGGATGCCCTGTTTTTCCCTAAAAGTGAGAAAAACATTGAATTAACTCATTAACGTGCAATGCACCCATATGCACCCTGAGCACAGAAGAGAAATAGGACAGAAGCTTCACTCGAGTCGGAACCTTTGAAGTTTTTGTGCCAGCACATGTTACTTCCGGCGCCTTGGCCGCCATGTTGAAAGCAACCAACTCTGGTCCAAAACATTATAAACTAATATGGCGAAACTTGTATTTCATAAATTTAAATAAGTATATCGTCGTTATTTTATGGTGGATTTTATTGAAATTTTCAGGACGTACTAAAGAAAGGTATATTATTCATTTTATTATAATAAAAGCTTATTTAATAATGCTAAATAATTAATAATGAAAAATAGTCGACAAACAATGCAGCATTTTGACACAGTTGACAAAATCAACTGAGTGGCATATTATTTTAAGGCAAACAATAGTATAGGTGTGTTCAACAAATATAAATGAACTTGGATACAGAATAACTTTCAAACATATAATTCATATAAAGGGACCGTTCATTAATTACAGTATAGATGGAGTGGTGCATGCAAACTCCGGTTTTTCATCTCCGGCTCCGGCTCCAGCTCCGGCCGAATTACAGCTCTGAGCTCCGGCTCCGGCCACATCATAAAATATTAAATAAATATTTTACGATCAGAGAACATTTATTAATATTATTATGAATAACCCTTTTTGCGCTTCCTAATTATCAGATAACATAACTCAGGAAACAAAACAGTGAAAACACTTAACCACACAGAAAATATCTATATGGAAACCAGCCTCGAAAAATCTTTGACATGAGGCATGACGCGAGGCATGACGCTAACACTCTCAGACTCCACAGCGCAATTGTTCGCACGCAAACAAAATACTCTGCCATTTTGAAAAGGTAGATATTTATTTGTTTTGTACTTTTTCGTTACCTACAAGGCATGAATACACAGACTACAGTATGTAGCGCTAAGTCAGATGGCTTCATGAAAGCATGACGTTTGTAAGTTGCGATCGTATTACAGCTTTTCGACGCTGTTCCTGTGGGCTGTGGCAGTTTGAGTCTATGATGAATTCATTAACAGCAATTGGCAGTTTGCAGTAACTAACAATCGTTTGACATTTGTCTCATTTATATTGTTTTCTTGTCATTTTGCCGGAGCTGGGAATACGTAACTCCGGCTCCGGGCTCCGGCATACAAAATTCTGCTCCGGCGTCGGAAAAACCGCCGGAGCTCCGGCAAAACTCCGGCTCCGGCAACTCCGGCACACAGCACTAGGGGGGGGGAGGAAAACTGGGTGGCTCCAAAATAATTGCCAGGAACAAGGGGAGGGGCATCAAACATTTTTTGTGTATTGAGGGGAGGGGGCTCAGAAACTCATTAATTGTATAAAAGAGAAAACTATCATCACATACAAAAGTTTCCCAATTGGTTTTGTATGAACAGTTGTTGCAAAAACAAAATGTTAAAGGATCATTAGACAATGATAAAGCTTTATATATTGCCCTATAAAATAATGTCAACTCAATTTCTGTAATTAAAATTTATTTAGTAATTAATTTAAATAATGTCAACTCAATTTCTGTATTATTATTCCAACATTTACATACAGTGGTGGTCACTTCCTGAAGAGGGGGGCTTGAAACATTTTCTCAAGTAATGGGGGGGGGGGGCACGAAAAAGATTTTAATTTCCTGAAGAGGGGGGCTTGAAACATTTTCTCAAGTAATGGGGGGGGGGGGCACGAAAAAGATTTTAATTTAAGGGGGTGGGTCAAAAAAAATTTAATAAATGTTTAGTTTTACTGCAGCCCACCCGTATGTATAATCAATGAATGGTCCCCAAAAGTCTGTGAAATGAGATCGAGATCTTGCATTCCAGTTTTGAACCATACCGAACTAATATCAAAGTGTTTTTTACATTTTTTTTGGGCTTGTACAACTTGTACACAGTAGAATACACTAGATGTTAAAGTTTCATTTACTTGTAAAAAAACACTTCAACTTGCATGCATCAAAGTCAGATTTTGTTGCAAGTTGAACCAGTTTTATTGCCTGATATATTATACTCTGCCAACAAGTTACCCTTGGTGATAGCAAACAATATTATACTTGGTGCTAAATGTAACATAAACTTGAGTATAACAGAGAAAATTCTCATCTTCAGATTTATATTTTCCCCTTCATTGTAGAGTAAACTGTTAATTAAACACAATCTTAAGAACTAGAGACAGTAGAGTGTATATTAGAATCTTCTCACAGATTTATAATTTAGAACTGTCATAAATCAGGACTTCTATTGTCTGTTTTGTGCAATATTTTTTATATTAAATGATTGCAGTCCAATATGCCAAGTTAATATTTCAATGCTCTTGGTGAGTACCATCAAAGTTTGATCAGTTGATCACAGATTCACAAAGGTTCGATGAACTAGTTTATTTCCTTCATTGTTCATGGTGTGCAGCACGTCCTTAATCCTTTTATACACCATGACATATCAGCAACTTATCACTAAAAACATGTCTTACGGCGAGGAATAACTACAAAGAAGCTATATAACTTGTAGTTTAAGGTTTATCCACTATTCGTCTATTCGCCGATGACCGAGGTGAAATTAATCGATGTATGCTGTATATTTACTGTTCTAAATTTCATGTTGTAAACATCTTGCCCCAAAAAAGCAAAGGAGTATATTTTATAATAATTGATCATTTTCTAATTCCTATCTCATGAAAATTGGTTATAATATAGATATGTACTAATTTAGTAAATATTTTTTTTCTGGTTTTTATATAAATTTATGGAGATATTGCCCCTGTAGGTGATGAGTGACATGAAAAACAAAGTGTCACTGCTTTACAAATAAAAATTCTCATTGAAAAAACTAATGATGTATATAGGTATGCAAGTTCATTTAAACTAAATTTGGTCAATCATATATCACTTTAGTCTCCTATGCAGACCTACTTTAGCGGGTTTGGGCCGCCACGTACGGTCTGCTTACTTTGGCTAGCAATTCGCCTTCCCATTGTATTCCATTAGCCAATAGCATTCAAATACACTAGACACACCCACTTTGAATGTCAACTGTAAAGTGTAATCAAGGAGCGTGCGATAATTGAATAATAATATCATTTAATAATACGCTATATACGTATTTAAATGGCCATAAATGTGAACAGATCGAGTTTTCTGATCAATAGCAGTTGAAGTAGAAAATATTGAATATTTTTCCAACGAATGTACGCAATAGGTCGAAGGCTTAAATGTATATAAAACTATTCACTGGTAATACTTGTTTTGAACTTGATGCGACTGCGTGACGGCATGTATATTCAATATATACTATAAGTTTCCAAACGTTCAATATCAGAGCGACTTTTGTAATTACGATTTTATTAAACTTTGTAAACTGGCTAGTCATATACAAACTTAGAAACCGAAATGTGCAATGAATCAATTTAGTATTTTATATAGGCTGAATTCTGTAATCTTCATGCAATTAGTATTTATAAATCTATTATCTACACCTGCAGTATTAAAATGTACACTGTAACTTTATAACTTTGTCTTGACGTCTTTGTCCAGTATATTACCCGTGTTACAGTAACACCTGCAAACGCTTGTAAAGTAATAAAAACATCGCGAAATATTTTAGGTGATATTGTTCGATTTTACTACACTGTCTGTTCAAAACAATAGCTCGACAAATTCTAACAGATTTTACGATTGTTCCATATTGTAAATTTGTAGACTGGTATATATGTATAACAAATCACTGTGAACAAATATATCTCTCAGCTCTCGCAGATAATCGGTTTAAGATATGAATACTTACAAATGAAGATATGAAATGTTCAAGATTAAATGTTTTGAAACTATTGACGACCCAAGCCTCAAGGTCAAAGGTCAAGCCCCACAATTCTCGTGGGTAAAGCTGTGATTGGCTAATTTTGAGGAAAGGAATTCTTGGCCAAAGTAAGCATACCTTACGTGAGGGCTCAGCCCGCTAAGTAGGTATGCGTAGGAGACTAATATCACATGTGTGCACGGTTGAAAAGACCAGATTTTTTCATGCAACTGTTTCCGAGATATTGCCATTTTGGTGAAAGCTCTTGAATATTTCAATCACATATTCGCCATATTGCTTGGGCTTTGGGAGGTAGAAACATTGTAACAGCTTGCATGTTAATGAATTAAATTAATTAATGATATATCCTGGCAACTTTTAGCACATCCTCATTGGCAAAGCTGCAAACATTTACTGTACGTTTGAAATGATAAAGACTTTTCTTACCCGATTTCCTTTGGATCCTATTGGCCCAAATTCACCTTTTTCTCCCTAAGTCAGAAGAATGCGAAACATCAATGTCTGTACAAAAACGTACATCATAAACATGAATTACATAACATGGAGTTGGAAAATTGCAATCACGAATGTTGTTACCACAAAAGTTTAACAAGCGTTAAAACTTCAGCACAATGAATTATCCAGGCTGAAATTTTTCGTTTCTTTCAATACTGTACCTTTGGTCCGATATCGCCTAGTGGTCCTTCATCACCAGGATGTCCCTAGAATTGATCAAAAAGTTAAATATATTCCACTCGGAAGCAGAACTGAGATAAAATACTGCACACTATATGTGAACTACTTTGGAAAACATACTGAGCTAAAGAATTTACTAATGACGTTTGTTAGTAGGGCATTAATTCATTAAATTAACGCGCAATGCGCCCTCAAATGACACCTCAACTTGCAGGCATGATATTTGAGCACGTGTTTATCGGGTTGCCTAGCAACGGATACGAAAATAGAACGTGAAATTCGAGCTTTTCAACGGTGTATCATGCAAGAAAATCGGTCAGAAACTCGCAAAGTTTTTCAAGTTTAAAATTTTAGTTTTTCAAAAATAATGAACAATGGCCATACTGTTGCAAAGAAGGATTTTACAGCAAGTTTTAAAAGCAAAAAAAGAAGAGGTTTTTGAATGATCTACAACGAAAATTTGGCACTAGTCTAGGACCTGTATATGAGTTTGTATGCGTTTCATTTAGCACAGGTAATCTCAACTGTTTTAGGGTAAAATGACCATGGCGGTCAACATGGCATATGTGCCAAAAGCTGAATCCGGGACGAAAGTCCTGAAAATGACCCCGCCCTGAAACGGCAGTGTCGACATAGCTCTAACTTCAGAAAACAAAAAGCGATAGTCTTTCTGAAGTGCTTATAGTGTTTGGAAGGGTTGCTTTTAGGGGTGGTCATTGGAAGAAAAATTTGTCCAAGTATAATATTTTACAAGAAAATGACCATGCACCACCCCAGGTAAATTGCTGATTATGCATAAAATAACTAATATGCCTGGCAGAAATTAAATATTCTTATTTCCTAAAAAAAATTATCATGGGGTTAAAAACTATGCTTAATTTAATGTAAATATTGTTGATTTCATAAGGATTGTCATTGTTTTCTTTAAATATAATAAATTTTATTTCACTTACCCCCCACGAAAACACGATTTCAGCCATATTTTGCTGTCTTGTTTGCTTTTTATCGCCGAATCACGCAAATATCATCCAGTTATTGTACTTTTACATAATCATAAATGGCTGAAGAAGATTTCAAAGAAGGTTTCATCCACTTTTGAAACAGTGCAGTGTATTTTATCTTCGATAATGTGTCCTTCGATATCTCGTCAAATTGCCGCCATTTTAGGGGTCACGTCCATATTCATATTGCCACGCATAACGTCGAATCGACGTTATGAGTGGGTGGGTGGGTTTATCTTAATTCTCTCGACGTTATCTCAATAATCTCGTGGCAAAATGACAATTTTGTGAAAGTTTTGAAGAATGTGACTGCCACGCTCGACGTTATTTAGGGTGGGTGGGTGGGTTTGAGTGTTAACGTCGATTCGACGTTATGCGTGGCAACATGAATATGGACGTGACCCCTTAATGGCTCGCCGCTTGAATCTAAATACATATGAAAACGAAGAAGTGGCATTTATCGGGCAGAGAATCTCTGCCCGATAAATGCCACTTCTTCGTTTTCATATGTATTTAGATTACATTATCCAAGAGTACTTCATTGTAGAATAGTCCCAATCCAAAAATTGGAAATATTATTTGTACTTGGGAGGAAAAAACCTCCCAGTACAATTGTCCTGTTAGAATTCAAAAGAAATAATTTAAAAGTCACGCGCAAGTTCGCGAAAACACCTCGTGGGTTACATAACGGGGGTGAATATTTTCACGAAACGTTTGTTCGCCACCACAGGCCACAGCAACCTAAGTTAGGTACATTATATTTATTGTATATTTGTGATTTTTGATAAAAACAATAAATATTTGTGTATATTTATCATCAATTATAAAAATACAAAAAATATAATACATTTAGTTAGGTTGCTGTGGTGGCGAACAAACGTTTCGTGAAAATATTCACCCCCCCTGTTATGTAACCCACGAGGTGTTTTCGCGAACTTGCGCGTGACTTTTAAATTATTTCTTTTGAATTCTAACAGGACAATTGTACTGGGAGGTTTTTTCCTCCCAAGTACAAATAATATTTCCAATTTTTGGATTGGGACTATTCTACAATGAAGTACTCTTGGATAATGTAATCTAAATACATATGAAAACGAAGAAGTGGCATTTATCGGGCAGAGAAGCGGCGAGCCATTAAAATGGCGGCAATTTGACGAGATATCGAAGGACACATTATCGAAGATAAAATACACTGCACTGTTTCAAAAGTGGATGAAACCTTCTTTGAAATCTTCTTCAGCCATTTATGATTATGTAAAAGTACAATAACTGGATGATATTTGCGTGATTCGGCGATAAAAAGGAAACAAGACGGCAAAATATGGCTGAAATCCCGTTTTCGTGGGGGGTAAGTGAAATAAAATTTATTATATTTAAAGAAAACAATGACAATCCTTATGAAATCAACAATATTTACATTAAATTAAGCATAGTTTTTAACCCCATGATAATTTTTTTTAGGAAATAAGAATATTTAATTTCTGCCAGGCACATTAGTTATTTTATGCATAATCAGCAATTTACCTGGGGTGGTGCATGGTCATTTTCTTGTAAAATATTATACTTGGACAAATTTTTCTTCCAATGACCACCCCTAAAAGCAACCCTTCCAAACACTATAAGCACTTCAGAAAGACTATCGCTTTTTGTTTTCTGAAATTAGAGCTATGTCGACACTGCCGTTTCAGGGCGGGGTCATTGTCAGGACTTTTGTCCCGGATTCAGCTTTTGGCACATATGCCATGTTGACCGCCATGGTCATTTTACCCTAAAACAGTTGAGATTACCTGTGCTAATGCACATATCAACGGCCTGCCCTGGGGGTACACCCCCGGGACACCCCGGGACTTTGAAAAAACATGATTCTAATGCATTAATTCCCCCTCCCTCCCCCGGGAAATGTGTAAGTCAAACTGCCCTCCCCCTGGGGCTTGGAATAAAGTAGTTCATAATATAAATAGCATAAAAAAAAATTAAAAATTATCATACAAACTGGGGTATCACAATGGCACTCATGTATTCTGTATTTATTTATTCAAATTTTAGCAAGATCACTACAAAATATCATAAATCATAAGTTGGCGATCGATATTTTTCTTTGTGAGCCTGCGATTTTGAGTTTGCACCAATTGTACACTTCATTTATAAAATTCAAATTGTCATGTCAAAGTCCCCTACTTCCCCTCCCCCCGTCCTATTATTGCAAAGTTTGTAATTTCCCCGGGGTTCACGGGCAGAATACACGGATAAAATACCAAATTCCCCCTCGTTTCCCCCCGGTTGTCCCGGGGGTGTACCCCCCGGGCAGGCCGTTGATATGTGCATAAATGAAATGCATACAAACTCATATACAGGTCCTAGACTACACGAAATTAAAGCATAATGTAGTGACGTTTTGCCAAAAAGATGAGGATTTCTCCAAACTTTATCAAAAATAGAAGTTGGAAATCACGAGAAATATGAACACGGAATACAAGTGAGCAAATACGATATTTTTAAGGGTAATTTTGAGTAGAAATATGCGATCAAACACTCACCACTGACTCACCACTTATTAAATTTGGTGGTATCCATATCTAGTTTTAACTCTTTATCGACAAGCGACATTTTGACGATTTTACGACTCAATTGTTTATAACGTAAATATCTCAGCGCGTATTCACCCCCCTTTAAAACAAAGAATACCATTGAAATCCTAATAAAATAACCTTTTCAATGGGGGGTCGAATGCCATCAAAGCATCACACAAACCGAAACAATCATATATTTACTCACCGCTTGGCCAAACATTCGGAATTTTGTTTCCACAATAGCGTGAATAACTTGTGAATTCTTCAGAGTTCGCCACAAATCAATATGAGCGAAATATTTGTTGTATTCAAGCGCTTTTATATCCAGAATTTCACTTGAATACAGCCAGTCAAATGTTGATTTTGAGTTTTAAAGAGTAGTAAAAATATCGGGTTTTTCTCGCACGCGCCTGCCACACGCTAAAATTGGCGAATAAGAAGTACCCGTAGCCCGATGCACGTGCAAATCATGCTGCAGACACTGAACTATATAACATGGAAGTGTCATTCTCAGTCCCCTTACGTGCGCGGTCAACAAAACTTTTATATTTTTCTTTACTTTCCGAGTAAAAATCTGGTGAAAAACAGACGAAATTTGAATGAAAAGTTGAATTCTGGTGTTTTGTTTGGGTTCGGTTATAAATTTTAATTATTATTTGTTTAGGAGATGTGATATTTGAGTGGAAAGAAAGCAAAATAGCGCGGGATTGCTGTTTTTGTAAAATGACAAGGAGTGACAAAACAAAACACAAAGTCACTCAATCTTTCAAAATATCTCTATTGCCCCTATCGACAAGAGTTTCACACACATGAATAACTCATTAAAATGAACAGTTTAAGTTTATAAGGCAAACATCAAAGTGATTTTATTAAATAGAAAATAAAAAAACAAAATTTTCTACATGTATGGAATTAAATTGGCTAAAAACTGCCTCGAAAACTGCAGTTAAAAAGCAGTTTTAGGTCAGGAAAACCGACTAAAATAAGCTAAATAATGGTGTGAAAACTGAAAAGCACCATAGAAACAAGAAACGAAACAACCAAAGCAAAAATAAATTGCCAATTTATAAAAATACAGATTTTATATAAAAAAAATCAAAAAAGTTTGAAATTAGTTGTTGAATTCGCAACGAAAAATACAGATTTACTCACACATACAGTGGGAAAATGCAGTAGACAGATCGAGTAGATGAAGGAAATCAGGTTTACATAAAATAAATGAAGTTTATTTCCTTTTTTGCTCTTTTAAAATGAAGAAAAACACAACCCGAGAATCGCGGACCATCACTTCCCGCCATGACAATACAAAAAATGTTTGGCCGCGCGGGTAGGGGACTGAGAATGACGCGCAAGAATGGCTTCAATTTTTTCCTTCCGGTACGCCCATGCAGCCACTTTACATTATGACCGGTTCCTTAACCCCAATGCTAATGACAGTGATGATTAATCACTTTGGCATACCCAAAATTGTGCCAGTTCGCAGCTTAGGAGGTTATACTAAGCTCCCAACCTGCGAACAGGTTAATTTTACTCTACAGAACAGCCATAACTCTAAAGTCTGGTTCACATATATGCCTGCGACATACAGGCGACGATGCCGGTGGTAGCTTAAAACGTGAATTATGTGAATATTTGTTCGCCGATTGCCTCCAGTGCCTCAGTTACATCAGCGGTAGGCCGGGAAAGTTGACTTGAGTTCAACTTTCCCGGTATTTCGGCGGCAAGTTGAGGCATAATGATACAGTCGCAGGCATGCCGCAGGCATGCCGCAGGCATGCCGCAGGCATATGTGAACCAGGCTTAAGTATGGTTATGCGATTGTGTACCTACCGGGATGCCTTGATATCCTCGTTGTCCAGTGGGGCCTCGTACACCCTAGAAAAAGAAAATTCCATTTGTCATTTGGTAAGACAATCTTCACAACATTGCTGGCACAACGATCTGCCAAGAATGTGTGTGTGGGGCAAGCAGTATTAACCTTTCTCACGCCGCCATTTTTGGGGTACTGTAATTTTTTGTAACAAACTATTCACAATTTACCATCATACACCCCTAAAATTATAAAATGTCGCCGTTACGTGGTGTTATGCATGAGTCAATTCCAGGAGTAACCACACACCCCCCCCCCGGGAACACCCCCAGACATTTGATTTGATTGGTTATGATAGTGTAAATGCCCGGGTACCGGGACACAACTTGAAGACTAATGCACGGCCCCTGGGCAAGCTGAGAGTGGAAAATGCCCCACCCTGGGGACAATTTTACTGTAAACGTTAATTAAACTTTTAATGGCATATAATCATAGTCATTTAATAACATTGTAGTATTAAACTGCTATGGAATATTATAAAACATAAACCTTTAATAGTTGTATTTAAATTTGCATGGCACAGGGTATAATTTTCGCTTATTCTCACAATAAATTTCACGCCACCTTGACCACGAGGGCGCAAAATACGATCAGCGCGCCCACATGCGTGACTGAAACTAGGTTTTGCTGCCTTAAAATTTGTGGGTGGGATTTTGGGTAATCGTTCCATGTTTCGCGCACCAATATAGTAAACGTTATGTAATGGATATTAGAGTGTACTAAAAAGTTAACTGGATACCTCCATATACATATATACACACTCTAACCCTATCCCTAACCTTAAACCTAACCCTATTAACCCCTAACCTAACCCCTAACCCTAATACCTAACCCCTAACCCTAACTTATATTGGTGCGCGAAACATGGAACGATAACCGGATTTTGGTTTTGATTTTCGCCCGTTTAACCAATCTCGTTCCCCGAGCCTGCGATCCTCGGGAAGGAACCATCTATGGAAGGAACGCGAGGCTCTGGGATAATCCGTTGCCGGAAGCCAGGAATCCTGGCTAAGATTGAACTACGCATTCCATTTCAACGGCCAATCAGATTCCTCCCTGAAACGGATTATCCCAACGTTCCTTCCCGAGGATCGCAGGCTCGGGGAACGAGATTGCCGTTTAACAATAACGTAATATGGGCCGCTTGGAAATGTTACGACGTTATACATTCTCGAGCCCAGAGCCCTCCTTTCGCGCGGTGCGACGAGGGCTCTGGCCAAATCCATATCCGAACTGGCATCTGATTGGCTAGTTCTAACACCGGATATTGTTTTCTTACCATGTTTTTATGGTATCCGGTTATGGATTTGGCCAGAGTCCCTCGTCGCGCTCCGTTGAACGTGCGTAAGAAGGGCTCTGGGTACGAGAATGGACGTTATAGTGCCCCCTGGGAATGTTTTGCCCCCAGGCTCCTGGCAATCTCTCTGCGGCCCAGTGCCTGGACACAAGGCTATCATTAGTTAGTCATAAACCTGACCCTAACCTAACCCTAATTTTAACACCATCTGACTGCTTTAACCTACTTTAAATTACTTCAAACTATTATGTGTTCCTTATACGAAGTAACTCAATAAATGCAAGAACGTCGTTGCGCCGTGGTTAATCAGTCTAAACCATGCAAACAAACCAATTAACAATTTCGACAACAGAATAGTGATGATGAAGATCCACAAAGTAGCAACACTATAACCTTCAGAGTATAATATTATATGGTAACAATTAGGATACAAGACCAACGACCAAAGATGGAAAGCAATCCAACATCCAAACAAGCAGCACCACCAAAGGGAGCTCATCTGTCATACTCAGGCATTGAAAAGCAGTTGACACCCTTATCCAACGCCACCATTTTGTCACCCAACCATATGAACAACAATCCACATCAGAATCGGTAGTGTAACATATAATGAAAAGAACCCACCACAAAGTATTCCAAGGTACAAATTTCACCAAGTGGTGCTAAGTATTGACACGTCCGTCCAACCTAAAGTCCAAACTCAAACAAGGATCCATTCTCAAAAAGAAACCAATTTGATGAAATTACATAGGAGCTTCAAGACGCCGACATCATAGACAAAGAGGCAGAAGAAGGACCAATTAAGTGGATAACTAATGCAGTATTTATCCCAAAAGCAGATCCCATTCAAAGTCGACGTCTGCGCGCAGGCTACGCATTTCACTAAACCGGAGCTGGAACTAAATCCAGACTCGAGATACATATGACAATATTAATTCTGCACCATAGACGATTTTGTCGTTTCAAACAATTGAATTTTGGAACACACACAGCGGGAGAAATATTTTATCGAGATATTTATCAAATTTTGAGCAAAAAATGCCGCAAATCAGTATATAAGATGTAAGAAATTTCCTGCAAGATCAGATGTAAGATCATTTCCTGCGCAGTGGTGCTGCTGGCCATTTTCCAGCACTGCCACAGACTCGTCACGTTCTTGAAAAAATTGAAAAGAGATGACTTCTACACTGAAACTTCAAAACCCTCAACAGACGACGTGCCAGCGGCGAATCCAACATTGTTCCACAAGAGGGAAGACCCTGGGAACCCATGAGGATTTCTTTTCATACTTTATTTCTTTCTTGCACATGTAATTCCAATCAACCCATATTATCCGTAACAGTTTGTTCTTGCATTGATATTGTGCATATATCAATAGGAACAAAACCAATTCATTCATATTTGTGATTGCATATATGTAGAGAAAATGTTGTTTCAAAACAAGGACGATGAAGTTGTAACAAGTTGTGAAGTACGTTACAAAATCCTGAATTTTTAAACGCCGGGAACTGCAGCAGTGCGGCACAACCCAGAAGAGAACCATTAATAAACGAAATTGAATCACCGAATGCTAAAGTTTTACCTGACGAAAGGGAGATGCGATACTGGTTACTGGTTCAATATTTGCATTTTTTCCGATATCGATATTTCGGCGATAAAAAACATATAACAATAAGCGAAACAACAAAAGGCATTTTTTTATGCTTTGGTAATAGAAAAGAATCTTAGGTAACATAAACGAATCTTAGGTAAAATAAACGAATCTTAGGTAATATAAAAAATAACTAAACTTTCATCCATCGTTTACTTTTCTTGGTTAGTACTTCATCTTGCATGGATACTGCCATAGATCATTTGCAGCAAACCAATATACACGCATAACTTCGAGCTCAATTTTTAATTTGCTTTGAATTTTATTCAGTTCTACATGATGTTGAAAATTTTAGCGCTTTCTCGAACATATATGAAACTTATATTTAATAAATTCTTAGCGGCTTAAACTCTTCATAAACCAACACAACACAAAACCCTTTATCTAAACCAACCTTTACCTGAACCAAAACCTGACTTGTGTGTATTAATTTATACGGAAGTTATTTGTAAAGTCGTGCATATATGCCTGTTTTCAAAAGAATGAAGTTAGGGCAATGCATCATGCAACTATAATTAATGATGTCTTCAGTAATCCTACATTCCATTCTACAGATGTTTATACCATCATGACCCATATTCACAGGTCTTCACATTCTTCTTTGATACTTTATATGTACATATAAAACGTTCGCCGCCCGAGAACAATCCTACTTAGACACAGAATAGAGACACACAGAAGTCCAACTTCTTGGTTTACTATGATTTTGGCGTAACCGTGCGCTTACTAAAGACACCCCTAAAAATATTCAAAATGGCGAGGGGTGAATTCCTTTCGTAATGGCGGGGGTGAATGCCTCTTGTAGTGCACTTTGATGACGAATCATGGCGAAGCATGGTGTAGCAGTGGTTACGCTTTTTTTGGCTCAGTCGGACTTCTGTGTGCCTCTATTCTGCAGTGACTGAGTTTGATCCACCCACTTCCTGTGCGGGTGACCTGTGGCGACCACCAGTAATTTGTTAACATCTGGTAAACTGAACTTTCAAGCCATTAGTAAAAAGATCTAACACACACAGCATGTTATGATTTTAAATTGCGAACCAAACCTATTCATAAATTAACAGTTCAGTCAATTTATTATTATTTCAGGTGCATTCAGGGACTTAGTCTCCGTTCATTTTTCGCATGTAGGAGCTAAAGTACCGTGCAGTGAAAACCTCATGCAGGAGTGATGGCGAAATAATTGTTGAAAAGAACAGTTTGAGATGCAGACACAGCGTTTCACTGTTCAAAATTTCATACAAGTTTTATTCCAATTAAAATTCTAGCTATAACTGCAGATATATTTTGACAGCAAGTTAAACAATTATTAGGAGATAAACATTATTTTCTCGGCCATGCATCAACTCGTTTAGCTAATTAGCAGACTTTGCAAATGTCTCCCACCATCGTCATGTCGTGTCTGGCAGTGCAGTAGTCAGGGCCTGATCAACGTTCCGCGGGGCCCGTGGCATATTATCAGCGCGCCTTGACTCCCCCTTCCATACAGGCTCTTTAGTTGGTTTTTTGTATACTTAACATCCTTTAAATATTTATTTATAAAACATATCAGTGAAACACTGATTGGAACTTATTTTCATGCTTGAAGCATTGTACTAGCCTCATCACAAGCATTACACTTGCCCAGGAGCTAAACTAGTCCTTCTCTCGCTTGCCCTTCATTCAAAAAGTATTTCACTGCTAAGTTTGTGTTGCACGTCATGTTTTGCGCACGAATGTAATAGATCATCCCTAAAGCCCTGGGCAAACTAGGAAACATTGTTGCGGAAACATTTGTGATTCTCGATGTTTCCTCAAATGTCCCATGTTTGCCCACCCGTGGAAACATTGTTGCGGAATTTTGCTTCCTGGGAAGCAAAAATGTTTCCTACCAAATTCAGAAACATTTGATGTTTCCCTATGTTTCTCACTAATAATGAGTAATGTTATTATTATTATTATTAAGGCTAAGGCCCTATACTAAATTCTTTCTGAAGTTGTCAGCAAAGAAAATTATTTTCTTAACTTTAATCTGCACATAAATTTAGATAAGTTCATATTTAAATGATGCCAACACAATATCAGATGCCAGTCCCAAATGTAATTATTAGTACGTCGCCGGTTCGCGGGCAACGGATGTTGATCTTACCCTTTCTCCTTTCTCGCCTTCACATGTCGGTCTGCATGGCGCACAACCATTACATGCCGCCTGAAAAAAAATACACCAACGTTAAAAAGGACAGTCAAACTATGTGAAACTTGGCACAAATATCCATAGATTTGAGTGGAGGGAACGTAAAATGTGCTGATTCTTGAAGAACCGTGGAAACGGTTTTATTAGATATTGACTGGGACGTTCGGGAAACAGTATGTTTTGTGGGCCCTTGACTGCCGACTGACTGTTGCCAAACTAGCTATAAAAAACAGTGTGACATTTATATGCGATGTTACACACAATTCGCAATCGTGCAAATGATAATTTGATTGGCTTGGCAACGATTTTCGTTTGCGAATTGTTGTAAAAATGCCCCATACATCATCTTTATGGGAAAAGCCGAAGTGTTTAACCGCGTTTGAGGTCATTTTAATATGAAAAACATCAGTTGTAGCTTGAATGATGTATTCATAGCTGGTATTTCAGGTGTGTTGAACAAACTGCATTCCGCCAGTTGCTTTGATTTCAAAGTTGGAAACGGATGCGTCGCAGGAAATATCCAAATAAAGAATATTAAACACTTTGCATTAGGGAAAGATACCCGACTAATCGTCTGCAGCGGTTTAATATTGATTGAGGAAAAGTACAATGGAACCTCGAATGTTCAGACATTGTCTAGAGTACATGTGATAGCTTTATGGAGGAGAGGGGTTTAGATCTATATTCAAATGGCAGCTCGTTTGTATGTTATACGATTCGTCAGATCCAACTTTTCCCCTTGATCCATGCACATGCAATAAAAGAACACTTTTATTGTATCCAATACAGTCGAACCTCCGTGTGTGACACCCTAGTGTCTTACCAGAGGTGCCCTCTTTAGGGAACGGGAGGTATCCGTCCATTTTTCTAACTCGCCATTTATTCAAAAATCCTCAAAACCTACAATAAAATAAAGCGACTGCTACGCAGGCTAGCCTTTGAGAGGTCATTAATATTTCATCTTAATTTAATTCACCCAAGGTGTTTCAACACAGTGTATGATAGACTATTTTAAAGAGAGTAAAATTCAAATTTTCCCACTTTAGCTTAGAGAGGTCATAAATTCTTACACAATTCCTCGCATGACGTAGAGTGTAGACTAGTTAAAATGCAACTTGGATTTTAGAGGTCGTAAAAGTAGTGATATATAATAGATGTTTGGCCGGGGCCTAAGAATGGTGCAAGCATAATCTTATTTTCCTGTATTATTACGACGTTATACGAATCATCTGACGTTATACATTGGGTGTAAAGATGGTCGTAACGAGTGCAAGTTTTGAATTCTCTTTAACTGGTATCATGACGAATAAAATTCCACTCTATAGATCCATTTACTGGCCACAGTGAAGTTGTCTGCAGAATTCACTTTCAGTTAAGTTTAGCAAAATATTGAAAACAATGAATTTTCTTAGTGCAATTGACACAAGATGGTATATAAAAGTGAAATTGACTACGCAATTATTGTATTTCAGATGCTGATAAAGAAGTCGTTATTAGAGTTGAAATAATGTTAAAATATTTGAAAACCATGAATATTGATATTATATTGATACAATTTTTCGCTTTTTTTGTACAGTAAGTGTCATAAATTTTTTAAATGAAACTGAAATATTGAAAAAAGAATAAAAAATCTCATTAGCTTGAGATCACTCAAGTGTTTCTAAAATAAAGTATTACAAATGTTTGCGAGTTCCCAGGATCCAAGGTATTATCTCACGTTCCATTCATTCCATGTTTTGGACCACATGTTATTATTTAAGGTCATTTCGCATATTGTTAAGGTGTTAGGGTTGGGCGTTTGGTATTTTGGTGTGGTCAATTATTCACATCCGTATATGGGAGCTGCTATCGATCCCAAGATAGTGCATGTTTATTTTAAGAACTTTCTTAAGGTGTTCTTAAAGCATTCCAAAGAACCATTAGAAATCCTATATAACACTTGCATGCAAGGTGCGGTTAGACGTCTTTGCTGCAATCATCAATAGTCATCACTGTCTAAATAAGACTGATTAAATTCACATGTGTCTGACATGTCACCTATAGCCGCCTAAGTATATAACAAATAACATTAACACACCCAAAATAATCTCTCGACTCGATTTACTATGAGAGTCCAAGAAACCGTTTCCATGCAAGGTTCGTGCTACCACAAATATATTCGTTAATTTCCGAATGAAAACGTTGTTTCTGGCGTGAGCCCCAAGTCTCCAGGAGGTGCAGATACGAATCTATCATTAGTCGCAACTGGGGAAAAATACTTTATGTTCTAAACATTCATTGAAAGACCACACCGAACTTGAAATGAAAATCAAAACAATCATGCATTGTTTGTTATTTCAGGTAAAAACGTGTCGGGATGAACCTATAATGCCTTATCGGTTGCCAACGGATTTTATTATTCGAGGGAAGTTACCACAAATTACATTTGTCGTTTCATGCTGCCGCATTTTGAGGATATTGCGAGGCAATCCTATATCTCGTAAATTGCACAATTTACACGTTGCGAAGTATATAACTGTTAAACCGCAAAACCACAAAACAGTACTTAGGCACTTTGTAAAAAAAGATGGCGTGCATTTTCAAAGGAAACTCGCAATTTATGATAATTAGATGAACTTTGGTCCGCGGTAGGATCATATTCCAAAAAGAGGTTTAATTTCGTATCTTGTGTTTCATGCAAATTTCATATCAATGCATGGACAAAATAGAAATGATTCACGTACGAGTAATCGAGTATGTATGTATTCAGACGGCAAACAACGTTCCAATTTGTACAGATTTCTAACCTTTCTATAACATTTTTGTCTAATTTTCAGAACTTTGAAGTTCGAAATGACTCAACGCTTATGCTGCATGAAAACAAATTCGTGTGATACTGAAGAAAAATTCTAATCAATCTAAAACAATAAATTGTTTTGATCAGGAACCTTAGTAAATTACAAGTCCATTGTTAAAATAACGACTACATAGATTGCGCATATAACATACGGTGGTTTTAAAATGAATTGCGGTTTGAACAGGATGCATGTGCATTGAAGTTGTTGAAGGAAATGCCTATAAACGATCCAGGGCTTGTTGGATTTGGCCAAGACTTCCGCACTATCTTTGAAATAGATACGGAAATATTGAGAACAATAGTGTTATTGATTCGTTGCCAAGATTTCATTCTGTAATTCACTCAGAAAATTGACTAAATTTATTATTTCCTCAATATTTTTGGTCAAAATACTCAAGAGTTTTTTTTTAGTGTGATACCAGGCTGCTGCGCTTCCGCCAGAATGAGTGCAGGCATATATCTATACACGACGCATGTTTATACCATCTTAAATATATTAACTTCATTACATTATACAGTAACTGTTGAAAGTTGACAAGAATCGTTTGGAATGAGGAAAAGAAAAGTGACAATTGATCTAGGCAGATCCAACATTATCAAACAAGAGTGTAATAATATGGTTAGTTGTCGAATTTGTTTGTAAGTTTGTAAAAATGATCTGCATAAAAACATTGTCATTGGCATATACTTATAGGCTAACTCATTAGGGAGAAACATTGTAAGGCCCTTTGCCAATGATGAATTGGCAAAGGATTTTTATGTAAATGACAATATCTTGAACACGTAAATCATGGTAGTTCAACTTCAGTTCTTCTTATATTGTAAGTGAGCAATGATAACATTGCCATTGGGCTTTTGACATTTTATCACTTTTTTGAGAAATCAGAAACCTATTCAATACACAATGATGATGATAGAGAAGAATATCTTTTTTGTTTAGATAACTGAACAATCATGCATGTCCCCGCATGTCCTCGGCAAAAATTAACACTTTGGTTTATATCTTTGAGACAATATTATTTAAATATTATGGTAATGAATTTATTTTAAGACAGTATATTGATGTTCGTATGTAAAGAGTTACTTACTTTATAGTTTTAGTGTATATAAAGTGTTCTTTTATCTTTAAAACTAAAGTTGTATAGTATAGACTATAGTAACATTCGATCAGAACAAATAATTTCAATTTGAATGGCTGTAATCGTGTATGATTATATTATATTTCATTACAATACATTACATGTTATATGTAAATATAAAGATTTTGTTAGCATCGCACTCGATTGAATAATAGCCTACTACTCTTGAAGGGTCTTCAACTATATATTATATACCCTTCAACTATAGTCTATATATTATATGACCTTTAATAAACAATTAAATTTATGTTCTTTCTATGTTTTCTGTTAAATTAACTATGTTACCGTAATCTTTGTTTTAAATCTTTTGTCTTGGTTTTATAAATCGTTTGTTGTCATAATGTTGTGATTGTTTAAAGTAGTATAGGAAATATTTGCTGAAAATTCCGTATGTTAATTCCAAAAAGGAATCAAACCCAAGGTCTCTGGGGTCATTCAGACATTAAGTCTTTAGCCAGTGTTTCGACTTTATTATACAGGATCCCATAAGTTACTATATCTTTACACAATGGGAAAAACATCTGCCGGCCTGTTTTTTTTATATTTTCCCATGCAAGATATTTCTCATGACACGACTCACAAAAAAAGAACTCAAGTTAAGGTATAATCTCGCTACATGCATAATACAATGTATAATCTCGCTACATACATAATACTAGATTTTAAAATCGCCTTGTTTTTTATGTACTGTAGGCTGAACAAAATTGTGCTAATTTTCAAAACAACTCAAGATGTGGAGGGACTCGAATCTATCAACAACTCAAGTCTCAACTTTGTCTTTGTTAAAAATTAACCATCCGAAATACGTGTTTGAAAACATCTTGGAAAATTTATGTTATTGAATGGTCTTAACAGCGACATTGGTATGTTTACAAAACTTCATGTAAGCTCATGAAGGCATAAAACCATAATTCCAACGCATTATAAAATTATTTTAAGCGCCAAACAAATATTGACGTCGGTGATTATTGGCTTTTATAGAGCATTCGGAAACACTTGCGAAATATGGCTACGCAAACAGTTCGGAATGCTAGCAGAACACCTTTCACTGAATACGGTAATAACGTAATAATAAGATAATACCAGGGGTTTGCCAATGTTTTAGGCCAAATATACATATTAAATTTGATATCAGCCAAAAATGTCGGAATTCCAACTCCCTGTTGATAGAGACATGCCTCAAGGGTTTAATTCCTTTCCTTAGCAAAAGCAACAAATGTCTTTAATATGTCACTATTACCATCTTGTATATACTATATTTCATACAACAACAAGAAAAACATAAGCGCGCATTTTTCTCTTTGAAAGCGCAATGCAAAACAAGTGTTAAAGGGTTACTGGTGAGATTTATTGAACACAAACAACTGAAAATTAATCCGTTCCATACAAAACGTTGACGTCCCCCCCTGCACGCTTCATACTAAAATGTATACTATAGATACGCTTTATTATACTGTTTAGCATCGTGCGCGCAATAGTGTAACGCTTTGCGCAGCCAGCGCGCACTGCAATGCACACAACGATCATGAATGAAGTGATTATAGGCGAAAATATTTACACCTAACTGCGAGTATGCTTGATTTTTCAAACAAATTACTAGAAAACGATGACTAACTAAACGATTATCCTACCTCTTCGGACGCTGATTGCTCGATTAAGATAGACGCAATAAATACAGCGCCAACTGCTAATATTAGAGCAGAAGACCTATACAAGAAAAACAGTAACTGTAATTTGTCTGTGCCGATAAATTATAAAGCGAGATGTAATATAACCAGAGAATTATAGACAGCACGCAAACACTTACCTCATATTGGGTTTATTTCAACTCGCTTATCGAAACACGACTTTGAATACAGCAACGGTATTACGCGTCTTTTGATTAAGATTTATTTTCAAACGCGAATAAGAATGAAGATATCTTGACGCAACCTCAACTGACTATGTCAAAAGAGATGCGCACTCACCAGTACACAAGAGAAGATGTTTCTAATAGTCTCAGATAAACAGTGACAGATGATTGAGCCTGTCAAAATATGAGTTGTTCACATCACTGATGATTTTATCATATCGTATCACATTCCTCGCCCCAGGTGGTTATATTAATATAATTACTAATGCTCATCAGTTGACGGACTCACGAATTGCCATTAAGCAAGATAAGAAGGAAACGGTGTGGTCAAACCGAGCCCAGTATTTTCCTAATCAGAGGGATACGATATTTCTATTGGCTGGCATAGGATAAATCTGAAACCTGAGAGGCTCGGTATATATTGGCAAATCTCGAGCTAGACATTCCAAAACAATTATATCACGCTATATTTATATGTTCATAACTTAATTGTTGTCAATTCGTACTTGTAGGTCTTTACATTTTTCTCAGGTATGAAGAATTTTAAAAAGTTTTCAGACTATGTGTGAGACATGAAACGCCCAATGCATAATTGTCGAATAAGTGGAATAACGCGCAAGTGGCGAAATTTTGCATGATTTGAGTCAGTGTCCTTTAAAAACCATATGTTCAATGTAAAGCCTGTTCTGTGAGTTAGAGATAAGTCAAACAAGAAGCTCTTATCTAATACCTTACAGCAATAACACCAAAATATGGGAAATATTGTCATTGTCTGTATGTGAAATGTCAAACTGAAACACACAATGCATTCTCTTTGACTTTTCATACATTGAAAATTTGCCAAAAATGTTCCATCGGTAGATTTTCCCAATTTTCTCGTTATATCCTGTTTGCAAATGTAGCCCTACATGTTTAGGCGCTAACGGAAACTATATTTTAGTGTGGTCCTACCTGGGGTCCAAACCCGGCCTCTCCTGTTATCGTAAACCGAATACATGATGTTGAACCTGTCCTGATGCCACCAATGCGACTTTGGCTGAACGTCTCTTTTCCGACGGTAGATTAAGCTTACACCACGCACCTGGATGTTTTGGTGTATTTATTCCTAAAAATTTAATGTAAAATCAAATATCTGAAATTAAACCATATCTGAAACCAAGTATACTTCGAAAAGAAGCATCTCTGGGTACTATAAAACAAGAAAAGAAGTTATACGATATAAGTTATACGTTATATATTATTTTGATTTTATTTCAAAATTTTTATCGAAGTATTGCCACGCATTTTTCGGGTTTTTTTTATGTGAACTTGAGTTTACAATTACAAAATTACTTCTGTTTGAAGTACGTTTTGTTATTTTTTCCCAATATTGTTAATTGAAAATGGATACAAAAATAATTGCTAAAGGTAAAAATAAAGCAGATGATATTACAATGGTATGTTTTATCAAGTTACCGGAAGCAGAAAATTCCGAAATAAGGCGTAAACTGTCTCGATTGCCAAAACCGCCAAAACGCTGTTATAATCTGGCCTTTATTTGATGAAAAGCGATGAACCCAGAAATTGATGCGGATTTTATATGCCTGCTGGTCTATGTATCCACCCTGCAGCCGGATATTGAGTTATCCACCCTATTGATGGAACGTCAATTATTTTTTTAGGTGTCAAGGACGTCTTGATGTCTTGACCCTGCAGTAAGTCAGGATAGCCATCAATCATTGCACTGCGCGGTCTATGCAATATTAAGTTACTTCACAGACAAGCCTGGCACCGTCAACAGAGAGCGCTTTACTGACGGTAACAAAATCAAGCTTCTCGTTGCTGTTTGCATCACCCAAATCATCAAGTGTTTCTATAACAGAGATCTTAAAGACCTTGTGGAGTGAATGAAGAAAAGGTCAGCATATTATTGCAGTATATAACCTGGCGTATTTACTGGTGCGCGCTATTTAAACTGCATTTCTTTATAGTATTATATGATGTTCTTTATATTCTCTGTATAGGATGATGCGAGCATTCCTTCTTGTCTTCATCGTCTGCGCTACGGAAGCTCAGGTACCTTATTTCATTGTGTTTACTGTATCATAAACTTCATTTAAGCGTATGCGCTCGTCCAGCCTCTATTGAATATTATTTATAACAATAATATAATAATGTTAATAATCTTAGAACACATTTTGCGTCAATAGCAAACTGTCAATAACGTACAGATTTTAAAAGCATAAATTGCGCAAATTAATATCGTGTTAAAAGTTGCCCACATAGAAATGTATATGTTTAAGAAATCTTACTCTACCTACCCACAAGTGTTTTGTATTAAAAGTTTGCTCGAGGGGATAAAACATAATCACAATTCGCAACACAGGGTAAGGGTAATTGATTTTCCCGCACGCAACGCGTGCTTGTGATCACATAAAACCTTGCACGATTTTGCCTTACGCAGTTTTATGTGGTGTGGTAGAGTAGATACAACCAAACATTTGGTGTAAATGAGGTTCTGATCAATTATATTTCAATTTGATATTATTTAGTTGGCCCAACGCGACCTCTACTTGTTTCATTTATACCTCATCTATGTCAACAATATTCCAAAAGATTGCAAAAATGCTTCTTCAACTTTACATACATTAAATTTTCTTTCTTTATGCACGTGTAAATTAATTAAAGCTTAAAATTTAGCAGTTTTGTAACATATTAAATAAGCGGCGTAATAGTAATCTTCGCTAGCAGGGGGGGAGGTCGAATTTTCTCAGTGCGCGTCGCATAAATATTGTATTTTTAAATCTCTAATCTGGATAACACGAATGACCTTATATAGGTCGTCTAAATCTTTCAAGTCAAGGAAATCTGGCACCAGAATTTGAATTCTTCCGTGTAATGAACTTCTAAAGTTGTTTTTCTACCAAACAAATTATATGGCTATACATACAGATGATGTAAGGCCTATCTTTTGATATTTGGTTGTCTGCCACATTCCTACAGTACTTAACACGTAACCTTGCTCCTTTCAAATACTTTAATATACACAATTATAATTGACTAATAATATATCGTGATAACGTAACCTTGAAACTTTGCCAAAGAATTATGCACCCAAACCTCAAATGTTTCCTTTATCCTGTTTAAGAGCTATGAATATCTCAGAAAAATTAATGTCTGGTTTACCATCCGGTATTCACATAAAAATAATAGACAATTCAATTGTGTTCAGTTTAATTTTATAGAAATCGGAGCTACCAAGTGTCATACCACTCCAGAACTAAAGTGTTTACAGTCTCTAGCCTTCTTTTATCAATCCGCAGCTTTCTTATTAAGAGACATTTTTTCCATGTCGCATATGCGTTGATGAAAAGCGTTCAAAACCTATTTTTATAAACATACGGACTCCTTCCCGCCCCTTGATTCGTCTTCCATTATTGTAAAGTTTTTTTAGTCCTCAAGTATCCTGACTGAAATAATTAATTTATATAAATAATTTATTTACCCCTTTCTACTGTTACTGGTTACAGAATCGCACAGTAAACATGAACTACTGTATTTGGAAGCTAAGGCTTAGGTGAGATTATCTACTATAAAAATACCTATAATATAAAAATGTAGGTTTAGGTTCCTGTCATATCTTTTTGCCAATAAATCAAACTGTGAAATTAGAGACCAAAATTGTATTGACTGGAACATTCTATTCGAACGTTTGCATGCAAATATTACTGGAATACTGGGTACATTTTTTTGTGGAATTCAACACCCTTTGACTTTGTTTTGTTTGTCTACATTATTAACGAGGAATCTTATACTAATCTATGGATGAAGATCAGTTATGAAAAATGCAAAAATCGCGCCATAGATCAAGACTAAATGTTGATGTACGGAATACTTGAAGAACCCGTCAAGAACGAAAATATGATTAGAATGTGCAATTTAAGCTCTGTACAAACAGAATCGCGAGAGGGTGCGGTTCGTGTGTTAAGAACAGTAGGGAAGAAAGAAAGATCAGATTGGGACAATATTACGTGATTTTATTCAAAAGAAATGAGATTTAGGGCGATTTGAATTTTGTACATGCAAATCCAAATATTACTCGAGAGAGCAAGAACTAACGAGATAATCTAATTGGCGCGACTTCATTGCGACAAAATAGGGCGACCAGAAAAAAATGGTGCGACTAGTCGTGAAAAAGTTGAGGCAACTCGTGAAAAAATTGTAGTAACTCATGAAAAATGTTTCAGAGTGCTATCCTGAATAATAATAGTAAACAGTTGATCGCGAATGAAGTATGAATGAACATAGTTATAGTTAGTTTGTAGTTGTTATTAGTACTTATTAAGATGGGAAAACACTCATTTTCCTACCATACTAATGCCTGAAACAACTTCGCTAGTCAAAGTTAATCATGCATGAAACTTGAAAGTTTTGTAATGAATTTAAACAAGCAAAATTTTAGGAAATTCTTTTAGGATAAAACGTGGATTCTTGTTCTCACAATTAGAAGTGGAGCAAAAGTGACGCTTGGTGTTGTTTCGGCATCAAAGTATTGCCAAAGGGCTCCAAAGTAAATCCAAAATTTTACTGAAACATGCTTTCCTCCAATATTCAATTACAAGTGCACAAAAGGACTTATTATTTGTTGCTATAACTAATCCAAAAATTGTGACAGTATGCAAAGAAAGGAACTTGCATCCAGCATAGCTTGAAGCCTTGAAGTCGCATTATTAAGACTTGGTCACATCAAAGGCAAGATGTCAAGCAACTAATGAAGGTGTACTCTTGTCAGACAAAAGCACAATGGTGGTGCTATATATCCAGTTTTAAATCTTGCTATAACTTATAAGCAACACATGAAAACTTTTGAACGTCGTACAGTACCTTCGTAAATCGTAACAAAAATAATAACTATATATGAACTTCTTTGTTACAAAGTCTGAGAGAACGACTAAGGTTGAAGGAAAACCGAAAATAAACCTGCGCAGAACTCAGAAGTCTGGCACCGGCCTGTATTGTTACTGACAAACACTGAAACAGTGAGAAGGAAGAAAGAATAACTAGTCTATGTACATGACTAAGGACAAAATAGACTAAGCGCAGAATGTAATCCATTGTAAATAAATGATTTTCATTGCCAGCGAGTAAATTCAGGAAGTGTCAACTATTACGTGAATTTCTTCAAGTTATATATATGATTTTTGAGGGCCGTTCACAGCTTGTATACAGTATGCAAACCCATATATTTGACTTAGGGAGTAACTCAATGTACATATCACATCAATTCTAAAGAGAAAAGTCTAAGAGTAAAGGTGTATCAGGTTTGAATAGAAACAGTATAGGTTGCACAACAGGTTTTGGGAAACATCGCAGGTAACGTTTATTTTCACGGGAAACAGGATTGAAAGCAACCTCGTTCCCAGGGCTTTCGTGTAACCCTAGGAACGAGGTTGGAAAATATGAAAGGATAACGTGATTGAACAAATGAGTAATAATAATAATAATAATAATAATAATAATAATAATAATAATAATAATAATAATAATAATAATAATAATAATAATAATAAAAGTCTTTATTTCTCTACTCAAATCAAACGTCTGAGTTTACATATTAAGAATAAAAAATTTGATTCTTACTGTTATTTACATCAATTTTTAGTACTTTAAAATTCTAAGGTATAAGAATATAGATATATAGTTTATATAAAATTGAAAAGACATCTATTTATAAACGCGTTTTTGAACCTCTCAGTTTTAACAATTGGTAGTTCAAAGTCATGACCTCTCCGTCGTAAAGGTCGATTTAACTTACTAGGTAAAAGATTGCGTAAGGCATTCTTATCATCATTTATAATTCTTGACCATAATTTCTTGTCTCTGTTCGATATTGTTGCTTTAAAATCTGATCTGTTGCTTGTATAACCATTTCTATAGGCACGATTGACAAACTTATCAATTTGACTTACGTATTTGTTGTACGATGCTCCACCCCAAACTTCGACTGCAAAGGTGAAAAGAGAGACTATAAGACTATTGAAGAGAAGATCCAATTGATGTGTAGAGAGCCCGTAGTGTTTACAAACCCTTAGAATATACATTCTTCTACTAGCTTTTTTCATCATCTCTTCGAAATGTTTATCCCATTTACCAGGTATGTCTTCCATCGTGACACTCAATAATTTGAGCCATTCTTTCCGTTTTATGGATGGGATGTGATCCGGAAGGGGAGTAGACACTTTTCCGCGAACTATCATTTCATAGGTTTTCTCCATGTTTAAAGACATTCTATTCTCGTTTGACCATAGCTTCATATTTTCTACTTCATCCCCAGCTGAATCTTCGTAATCATAAACTGGTGCTATTATTGCAATATCATCAGCAAATTTGGATAAATCATTGGAGAGACTCACCGCCTTGATATCATTGACCATTATAGTAAACATTATAGGCCCAAGCACAGTACCCTGGGGTACGCCACGATTAGGAAAACTCCAGGCTTCATATAATTAAAGCCTATATTTTACAATCTTATCACTAGTAATATATTAAAAACATGGTAATATATTATAAACACAATTTACAGAAGCCGGTGCTTTCCTATCTACAGCCACAAGTGTGTTTATAATGGTGATTACTTTTGGACTTTCTGTCAATCCGTCTTCCCCAGTGACGTAGGAATGCTCCCCACCCCTTGACTACGAGCAAAAGTGAAAAGCTGAAATCCGGGCAGAAATGGGAGGATGGGGCAGATAATGATTCCTATCTCTTCTGTTTACCAATAAAAAGTTGTAGGTGTTCCCATCTAGAATCCTAACTCCAGTAAAAAATACCTCAGTATGGTGGTTGAAAGCACATTTGAACTTGAATTTACGCGCAAGCAGCACTGCAGCAATCAAAGTTCAAAGTTCATTCTTTTTATTACAATATAATTTCCACTTCAAAAACGAAGACATCGTACTATTTTGCTGTTGTATTTGTGTGTACAGTACAATATTGGTTTTACAAAAATGTTTTTTCGATCTAACAACATTAATAGGCGACTTAAAAATGGCCTTTTTGGTTGTAACTTTTCGTCAAACCTTGTTCTAAAATACGCGAAATTGCGTTCTAATGAATCTAAAAATTCAAAATTTTACCCCCGGACGCCCCTAGATTCCTCGCTCGCACCTCAAGTGCCATAAAAATTTTGGCTCCCCGAAGTTTAGATCCTGGATACGCCACTGGTCTTCCCGATTTCCGTCGAATCACAGAATAGATACTGGACCAGAAGTGTCACTCAGACGATATTTTGTCCGAAATTTTACGAGTGCTGACGTGAAAATACGCCATCATATGACGCCATCCTGGAGTGTACACGGAAGTTTTTCATAGGAAAACATAGGTACAAAGTGCCGTGTGCACTCCAGGATTGGCGTCATAGCACGTAAAAGAATTTCGGACGTTTTCCTTCAGCCAAAACACATAGGAGTGTCACTTCTGGTCTGGTATGTATTCTGTGGTCGAATGTTGGCACAGAATAAGAAATACTTCATGGAACCAGAATATAGTTGAGACAAAAAATTCAAGATGTTAACCGTATACAAGGTTGCTAATACAGCAGTAGGCTTTGTAATTAATTTTAAAAGTAAATTCTAACATTAATTTTCGAATAATCGAATTACTGGTTTTGCAAATCCAGGTGATGTCAGGAACCGTGGTTTTTACGGAAGGGAAACAGCATGCATAACATTTATCAAACCCCAAGATAATTGAAAATATATTGACCTAATCAGGAGTGTAGTAAATGGGGATCAGGGGCTGAGACCCAGTACATATTTAAATTTTTGCAGATTGCATAATCACATTAACCTGGAAAGTTCTTTCAACAGTAGTGTTTTTGTAAATTGTGTAGCTCTAACATGAAATACCTTCCCTATATCGGAATCTTTAATTTCAAATTAAACCCTTTCTTCATTTAAAATACAGTATTGAAGAATAGCTAGAAAGCCTAGAACCAAAAATAAATACTGAAACTTTTCATGTTTATCATATACACACGCCTTGTCACCTCATATTCTCTTTGAGTATATTTGGTATTCTTCTTAGCATTTAAGGCCTCATGTACCCAACCACCAAATATTCGTGCACTAACAGTATCCTGTATATCGTATTTACTCATTCCCTCGATTAAGCATCACATATTAGAGAAAAATTATTAGAGGCGCCGCCCGATCGAATATGCGCCGCACTTTTTTGCAACTGCATGGAAGCGCCGTCAGAAAGGAAAGAATAGTTCGAGAATACCAACCACGCAAACAAATCGTCCTTGGGTACGAGGTTCAATCTTTATCAAGCCTCGGAATTGTTTTCCTGTATTTTTTATGCTCTGTTTTGCTGCTAACATTTCTTGTTTGCGTTTAGCCCACTTTTTATCTGTAGTGATCAATGAAAACCTTCATTTAATCACAGTTAGTTTAATCAAAGCGTCTGTCTGCCTATCTAGAAATCTAGTTAGGCTAATCAGTTCATCTGTTGAGTGTCACATCTTGTGCAGTTGTGGTTCGAAACTAAATAGTAATAAAGATGCCTTTTGGAATTTATTGAGTCGTTGTTCTTGAATTTATTTATACAATTATCTACAGTATATATCTTATATATGTAATCAGTGCAGACCATAAAGCAGTACCATTCCATGAAATAATATACTTTTTTATATTAAATACATGAACAAATCGCATGAATTTCATTCAGCGAAAGGCCAAGATAAAGATGTAATAAATTTAGAATATAAAGAAATAAAATGATCTTATATAAAAATGTTATTTTATAAAGTAAAACAATATGAAGATAACACCGCAAAGAAATCCAAGACGTGGATTAAGGGGTGTAGATAAAAGGAGTAGGACTGGAGGACTTGAAAAAATGATAATAATTTAATATTATTAATATTAACTATAAGATTAATAATATTATTAATATTATATTTATTTATTTTTAAAATTATTATCTACACCCGTGAATTAAGTTAAAATATTAATTATCTACACCCGTGAATTAAGTTAGAGGGACAGAATTTGTCTTATTTTAATCCATATCTTGGGTTTCAAGATGCTAATCTTTGATTTACTTTATATATTACGACTATCGAGAGGTTTTATATCTCATCTTCCATCTACATGTGGTAGTATATCTATCCGACCAGCCATGGTATGAATCTCACTTCGAATCAAGGATTCATCAGTAGGAAGTATCAAAGAAGGCAAGAAAAGAAAAGAAATCTAAACTACAAACTACCATGCATTTTTGGGCTCCTATGCTCCTATTTATCTGTTTTCGCGCGTGATGCTCGCCCGAGCGCCTGCCCGAGCGCCACGCGCGAGCGTGATATATTTTCACGCTCGAGCTTTCAAAACTTTTCAAAGCTATGAGTATGAGATTACATTTATAAAAGAGACAAATATCATGCATTTTTGGGCTGCCTATGCTAGGAGGGGGATAATTGGAAAAATGATAACATTCAACACTGGCTTTATAAGAGAGGGATAATAACCTTGAACAGACTGAACTCAACTTCCAGCATGAAAACAACGTTTAGTTATGGGAATTTTTGGTGCATTGCGGAGGACTTGGCTCCCCCAGCTTATACGTGTACAATCATCGAATCTTGCTTCGAATCTTTCCTCGAATCTTATTATATCTCACTAATAAGTTCTTTACATGTTAATATAGCAATAAACATACTTAATTTTTTTTTGTGAAAAACACCACGTTTATTTATTTATTTATTTATTTATTTATTTATTTATTTATTTATTTATTTAGTAAATCTCTCTGCAGTCTGTATTACCCATTGATGTGTCTTAGTACAGATCTGTGGTATTACCGGGTTATCATCAGTGCAATTATTTGTATATCCAGGCTTACGGATCTATTCCTAAACATACAGTATAGCTAATTTGAAATGTTCGACCAACAATCCAAAGAATGTATAGTCCAAGTAGGGTTCAAGTTTATAATTTGTCGCAGTGACATAAGCCAAGGGCATGTTTCTGGCATATAATAATATAAATAAAAAAATCGATTCTGATTGGTTAAGAGGAGTGTAATTTTATCGAAATGCAACCCCAAACTGATCACCATGCATGTATTCGATTGGTATAAAATAAATATGAAAAAGTCTATTCCGTTGTCTCAACGCGAAGGTTAGCATTTGATTTCACGTCCTACAGACACTAAATATGAAAGTGAAATAAATTAAATAATATGCGATTGAAGCCTGATCCTTACTAACATATCCTGAATCCGGCTATTAGTAAAACACGGAGCACACGGAGCACGGAGCACACGAACTACGGAGCACACGAACTACGGAGCAGTAGAAAAACGAAAATCCTTTATAATAAAATACACTGTTTACTATTACAAATTAAAGTTTTTTCGCGTTTTACACGTTGAGGAAGTAGAAAAATGGGGCTTTTACTGCACATATGATGCAAAACTGCCAAAAGCCATAGTATTTAAAATAGGATTGTGCCTGTGAAACTCGTTATCTCATATCTATCAAGCTTATGAGTTATGTAGTTATATTATATTCCGATGGCCAACGCATTAAGAAACACTTAGAGAACAGCCGATATATTTCGTTACCCCTGCCAAAAAATAGCCAAGTACTCATCTTTCAATGTAGCGGGTCGACTGAACATTATAAAAGCTTGTCATGGAGAGAAGTGAATTTTCGGTTTATCTTTCGTCCCAGTGACCAGTGAGCAGTGTGCTGTACGGCCTACGTTTAAACCGTTATACAGTAATTACTGCTTTCATTCTTTCAATCCGTTTTGAATATTCGGAATCATTCACTATTATACTAGAAAATACATGCATGCAGAAACCCTCGCCTTGCTGACAAAACCGTTGTATTTTCCGAACAGGAAGTATCTAAAGTCGTTGTCATGGTAACACGATAATTTTTTAAGAATATTCTTACAAATGAAAATCGCCTAAAAATATCACTTTTAATTACAAAATTATCAATTTTTTGTTTTTATTAGCTTCGCCAACTAGGGCAGGGTCACCACAACAGCATATGCCAATTACTGTGGGCCCTTTTTACCTAACCCACCCTGTCAACTTTTCCCTGTGGGAGGAAACCGGAGTACCCGGGGAAAGGGACGTAATACAAGCTTCAATTTAAGGTAAAATTCAACCACAAACAATTCACAAAACGTTTTAAAGTGTTCTTTATAAAACTAAACTGCCTTTAACTATTAAATGGCTTTATCGATAAACTTTGAGTTTGCAATAAAATGATTACAAATTCTCGCTTGCAAATAACTTTGGTCTTTGCTTTATTTTTTATTTAAAAAATTCAATATAATAAAAAAGGGAATCAATATTAAAGTTACACTGAAATTTATATATGCTGTCTTGTTTAGGGCCATTCCATTTAATGTCCACACCCCCCCTACGGATGAGCTTTTCTGAAGGGTGACTCAAAAAGTCGTTTCTGAGGGGTTAAGCCTGTCGGCATCCTTTGATCTCTGCGATTTTTCTGAGGGGTAAGGGGAAAATTTACAAATTTCTGAGGGGTGTTTTGTGTCGGCACTTTGATCTTTTTTTCTTAGGGGTTAAAATTTTACTGACCTCATCCGTAGGGGGGGTGTGGATATTAAATGGAATGGCCCTTAGTTGTTTCATATACGCAAAGGCCGTCGGGTTTTAAAGCCATTATAAAATCAATATTTAAAACAAACTTACCTTCGTTAACGTCGGCTCCCTTCTTTTAGCTGATTCTTTCGCCCTTTCTTTCTTGAAATTTACAAAATCTTGCAGAAATACGAGCAAAAATGAAATATATTTGCAAGAAATTTATCAATCATCAAATCAAGAAATGTTTGCTATTTCGCTGTCGTCATGCAGTCGTTATAATGCAAACTTTAAATTGGACCAATCAGTGTCCGTTATTCATGACAATCCGCCATATTTTTGAGATCAGTGAGGATGACCACCCATCGTTGGTGACCGACGCCCGCGCTCATTGATGAACTTTAGACTTCGCTAATGCTTTCGTTTCTCCGGGTGTAAATAGCCGGGGGGAATTAGTACCCTCGCACGGCGCTTCGCGCCGCCGGCTCGGGGATTATAAAACTGTATAAGATAGCTGTAGAACTATAAATGCTGTAGAATAAAATAAATAAAGAAAACTACGTTTTATCGCGGTACTTGCCGATAAATCGGTAACCGCTACAGAAAAACAGAACAAATTACAGTAATCACAACAAACCGCGGAAGTGGGACAATTTTTGTATTTTTACTGTAAGACATGCAGAACATGTACGAAATCCATACAGAAGTGTGTGTGTATTCTATACTTTTGAAACAACTAAATCAGACTTCGGAAAATTTGACAGTATTAAAGCTACTTTTGAGAATTTAGATTTTAGGTCTTTGTTTTACATGTACCCAGTAAATATTTTTGAGTTTTGCGCTTTGATTCTCACAAGCTTACAATTTGTTTACAATTTACTCTGGCTCTGCCGTGCTGCACGGCAGAGTTGATCGGAATTGTAACAAATACGCGTACACTTAAATGGCTTCCTGAATTTAGTCAATCAGATGTGTAAAAATTACTCGTTTCAATTTCATGTTTATGCTCGAAACTGCTCATGTTTACAATAGCAATTCTAACAATCTTGCCCTCCTTTTCGCCTTTGAGGCGTTGGTGTTGATTTATACACAAAATTCAAAACTCAAAAATATTTACTGGTCTGGGTACATGTAAAACGAAGACCTAAAATCTAAATTCCCCAAAATGCTTTAATACGGTCAAATTTTCCGAAGTCTGATTTAGTTGTTTCAAAAGTATAGAATACACACACACTTCTGTATGGATTTCGTACATGTTCTACATGTCTTACAGTAAAAATACAAAAATTGTCCCACTTCCGCGGTTTGTTGTGATTTTAATACTGTAATTTGTTCTGTTTTTCTGTAGCGATTACCGATTTATCGGCAAATACCGCGATTTGAAAACTTACTTGTCTTTATTTATTTCATTCTACAGCATTTATAGTTCTACAGCTATCTTATACAGTTCTATAATATTGTGAATGATTCCGAATATTCAAAACGAATTGAAAGAATGAAAGCAGTAATGATGTACTGTATAACGGTTTAAACTTAGCCGGCCGTACAGCTCACTGCCACCGGTCACTGAGCCGAAGGATAAACCGAAAATTCCCTTTTCTCATCACAAGATTTAATGTTCAGTCGATCCGCTACATTGAAAGATGAGTATACTTGGCTATTTTTTGGCAGGGGTAACGAAATATATCGGCTGTTCTCTACAGTAAGTGTTTCTTTATGTGTTGCCCATCGGAATATAATATAACTACATGAGCTTGATAGATGTAAGATAACGAGTTTCACAATCCCATTTTAAATACTATGGCTTTTGGCAGCCTGGTTTTGCATCATATGTGTTTTTCAGTAAAAGCCCCATTTTCCTACTTCCCCCACGTGTAATACGCGAAAAAACTTTGTTAATAATAACAAAAATTTGTAATAGTAAACAGTGTATTTTATTATAAAGGATTTTCGTTTTTCTACTGCTCCGTACTTCGTGTGCTCCGTGCTCCGTGTGCTCCGTACTCCGTGTGCTCCGTGCTCCGTGTGCTCCGTGCTCCGTGTGCTCCGTGCTCCGTGTTTTACCTAATAGCCTCCTGAATCCTGTAATCGAGTACCGTGACCGATGACAAGGTGACGATTAGGTTTCAGGGTGTTCTACGGTCAGGATATCCCAGATCCCAGTCAGGATATGTTATTTCCTGTTGTTTGCATATTTAACATATATCACAATATCACAATATCTTATTCTATAGGAGGGTGGTTCTGGCTTTTTCACCCGGCCACCAATCACTATACCACCAGCTCCAACTACAGATGAACCAGCACCAACATTACCACCGGGACCAACAAATCCGCAACCAACACAAAAAACAGAACAACCAAAAGTAAAATACTCTTTTGTTTTATAATTTGGTTCACTTTAGTTGGAACATATCGGTCGTGTTAGAGACGACATCAACACACGGATTTATGATATTTCGAAAATTTGTATTAAAAATATATTAAAAATTTACATCTTTGGTTTTCAGAGTGGAGGATGTGAATATGGAAATTGCCAACCAAAGGGTGATTGTGACTGTCTCAAGGGACAAAAAGGATCACGGGTAAGTTATCTTTTCGTTATGTTGTTGTTGTTGTTATTGTTGTTGTTGTTGTTGTTGTTGTTGTTGTTGTTGTTGTTGTTGTTGTTGTTGTTGTTGTTGTTGTTGTTGTTGTTGTTGTTGTTGTTGTTGTTGTTGTTGTTGTTGTTGTTGTTGTTGTCGTTGTTGTTGTTGTTTTTGTTGTTGTTTTTGTTGTTGTTAGGGGGCGACGCTCTTTGAAAAAACCCTAAGGCTCCGTCATTACTTGTCCGATCGGAATGAAACTTGACATAATTATTCTAAGCAATATTCCGCATCAATTGACGGTGTTCGATTTTCATTTTTGACTTTAGAAGCGAAATACAAGCAATTTTTGACTGTATTCGTAGCAATTAATATATACATATCATTAATATTCAGCAAATATATCAGCAAACGCAAATAAGAAAGACATTGTCTTTTCTATTGTTCGTTGTGAACACAATCACAATAGTCTAAAGCTTCTCAAGAATGTGGACGGCTAATTATAACGATTTATTATAAGCGTTAAGACTTAAGTTGACTAATTTAACACGCTGGCTTAGTTTCTCAAAGCGCAGAGGAGTACTACAGGGTGTCCCAAAAAACCCGAAAACTATTGAAATCACTTATTGTTAAATTCGAATGCCCTACCAAACAGCTGGACGTAATGATGCGTAAAATATTGACAAGGTGCATGTATTAGAATTTAGTTAGGAATATCTCCTGGTAAAGTGCGCGATTTTCTGCTCCTGGGAATTAAAAACAGGTTCTTAAACAGTTTCATTATGCATAAAATTTACTTATGTCAACCATTTATGCACTCGTGGGAACCAACAGAGCGCTAAGGCATTCAAATTCTAACAATTAAATTGTTATTGGTGATTTCAATAGTTTTCTGTTTTTTTTGGGACACCCTGTATACCAGGCGCATGAAATCCTGTGCTTAACAACAACAGGATAAATTCTATAGCGTCACTTTTTTGGGGACACCACAAGGTGGTTTTAAGAAACTTGAAATATTTATGATGACATCGACATCATAGTTTATGACTTTTATCTAACGTACTTTACAATTTATGTCTCGTTCTTAAAGGCCCTGTCACACTATTGCGTATCGTACTAGCGTATGCCAGCGTATGAAAAATATCACTCATACGCCTGTATACGCTGACATACGCTAGGGCTACGTTAGGCATAGGTTGTATACGTTTCAAGCACGGTCGCACACGGCGAGGCAGAAAATTTATTTTAAGCATGTTCAAAAATTTTGTGCGTATCGAAGTATGCTTTATACGATAAGCATACTCTAGGCACACGCTGAATACGCTAGAGGTACGCCAGATGTACGGTACTCATACGCTGGCATTTCAAAGGATTTTTGTGCGTATTGAAATTATTTCATTAATTTTCATACGCTTCTCATACGTTTCTCTCATACGCAATAGTGTGACAGGGCCTTAAGATGTCAGTTTTTCAGTTACATAAATGAATCGATGATGTGACAGGCATGCAAGATAAACATTTTACATTAGTTTAGATTAAGACCTCCTTTACACGGTACCGGACGAATTTGGAACCGGGCTGAAATTCGTCCCTTTCGGCCGTGTAAACACACGAGAACCACGGAACCGGACGAATTTGAGACCCCTAACAGGACGAATTCGCGTGTGAACAGGAGAAAAAGGACGAATTTTAGACCGGTCCCAAATTCGTCCGGTACCGTGTAAACGGGGTCTAAGAGGCCATTTTTTCCATCTCGCACATTTGCGATGAAAAGTGTTAATGAAAACCGAAAGTCTTTTTGGCGTACCTCTCAAAATTGCTTTAGCTTTATTCTCTAGTTTATACAATTGGCTACCCTCTTAAATGCATTTACCGGTTGAGAAAATTTGTCAATTAAATTAAAATACAATTACTAATTATGCTTTAAAAGAGACGGCATATTTACAGATAAACACTAAACACACTTTCTAAGTTTGTTTGCCGATTGAGAAACGTTTCAAAAAATAAACATTTTGTCAGTAGTCATAACCTCAAGTGGCATATTATACTCATTAGTTTTGAGCGCGTGTGACGTAACATATACAAAAAATCTCCTCTTAATCTTAAAATACCCAGAGGAAAAAATGTCAGAGAAGCAGCGGTAGCAGTAAGGCTCGTTTACACTTCGATTTTCTTCTGATAGATGTGAACGAGTGGATAAGTTACGAATGTTCAGATGAGGGTACATGTACTTCGAACATTCGTAACTCATCTGCTTCGTTCACATGCATGCATCGGGAGAAAATAGCACTAGAAATTGCAGTAGAAATTGCAGCAGAAATCGCAAGTGTAAACGGGCCTGTAGAATGAAGCACAAAGCAATGTTCGCCGTATTCCAGGACAAAAATGGCGAACTAATTTTGCGGAAAAAACATTTATTTAAAAAAAATTGGAGGAGTAAAATCCAAATGAGATTTACCTCTATAGTACGCTCGTTCATGTCTTCACCAAGCGAAGTAGCAATGGAAATAGCTTCAGATTGTTTAGACGGCTCTAGCAGATACATCATCGCCGCACCTACACAAAGAGTTAATTTGTAAGAAATCTAAACAAAATTATTTTGTGAGAAATCTATTTTCTACGTACAGTATATATACTGTATATATATACTGTACGTGAAGCGAGAGGAATTCGGCAAAATATTGCCTGAAGTGCTGATATTCCCGAGGGTGAAACGCCATCCCTCATCATCAGAGGGTGATTCGATGATAAATTTCATGCTCACTTGGTACAAATCTACGAATTTGATTGTTGGGCTAATCTCAAAATATTGTGGAGGATACTGCATTTACAATTATACAATGTCATCCATATATTTGAACTGAAAAGTCTGAAATATAGAATATTTTCTTCTATTCATTATTAAAGAAACATTTCCATTCATCACTTTCTCCACATAACACAATTGACAACAGAATATGTCGACTCTGTATACCAGTATAGTAGCTTGTTTATAAAGCTGACAGAACAAACAAGCTTACCAGCCAGCTGGTGGGGTAGAGAAAACTTGTGCTTGTTTAAAAATTCATTGTTGAAATCCAGTAGATCCAGTCCACCAAACAAAGGTTTCATTTCCGTTTTCATTACTTCAACGACACTTTCTTCAAGATTCTGGGATGACGTAACTACAAAACAATATTATACTGTTTAATGAATACATGTTTAATTTGTTGTTGAATTAGACATTTTCTACCACATAATCCTTCGTCCAAGTGGCCTTATATGCATATATAGGTTCGATTATGCGTGTATGTTAGTCTGCTTCGTCTTAGTGAAGTATTTATAAGACTTTCTAAGATAGCGACAGACTGGATTTATTTTCAGCAACGAAAAGTTACAAATTAGGACAGCACTATGACGTCAGCGAAGTCCTAATGGCCATTGCATTTGTTTCGTGATAAGATTAAATGGTATAGTAAGGTCTGGTATGGGCGTTGTCCTGTCATCTACGTGAAACGCAGCAGAGAACGTACGAGTGTGTTTTTCAGCAAAAGTTCACAAGGCGTGGACGTTTGCACACTGTCATGTTTCCGCTGTGTTTTCTGGAAATTTGACATTTTTAAAACAGCTGGGAAATTTGTTGTCGCTGTGCAGAGAAATTGCTGGCGCACGCGATATTTTACAAAAATTCGAAAATTTGAAAAAACAACACGAGTGAAATTTCAACTGATGATTTTGCATTTTTAAGACGGCGATCAAGGAAATTAAATTGTTGGAAAAACTTCACTAACATCTCAAGTATGGAAAGCATCTACATTACCAGAAATTTAATTGTAGATTGATTCAAAATTCAGGCGATAAAGTTACATAGCTAGGAGTTGGCTTTTGTGCTTTTCGAATATCAGTTTTCATTCGCGGATTACCATAACTTGTTGGCCTCATGGGTGCCAAAATCGACATAAACGTAAACTGCTAAGCAAGAGCTATAAAACAAATAGCTTTTCAAAAAGATAAACTTTATTCAGTCAAAGGGATGAGGGTAAATAAACATGCTACTGCGTGATAGAGATTTCGAAGCAACTTTGTCACATATATTTTAAAAAGTGTGGTAATGAATCAAATTTTGCTATTTGCAATCCCAAGAAGGTATGAAAATTATTTAAATATTTAAGGTTTCCGTGTTTCTTAAGTATTTTTTTGAGAAAAGTAAAAATTTTCCTGATAAAAAAGCATAGTTTCTGCAGAAAACTGTTTTCTGATAGAGAAGGTCCTGGGGGAAGGGGTGTAGAAGCGTGCGCGGATAGCAAAAAACCTTGACGTTTCCTCCAAAAAATTAATACCAAATTTTGTTTTGCCTTTGTTTGATATGTAATTTAAACAAGTTTTTTTACATCTAAAAATTGCCCCTAGTGGTCAAAACTTGGATTATGTTCGCAGTATTGGCCATTTGTTTACTTTTGGGGATCAAAGTTTGAGGTCCAATTATTTTTAAAGTTTGCAAACTACCCAGCTAATTCTTGGCTGTTGTTTGCAGTCTTGTATGCTGATTAAAATTTAGTTTAGTCCACAATAGTAGATCCTTTCAATGAAGGGAAATTCAAAATAGTATATTTGATTACTTTTACAGCACAGTCATTACATAGGTAGGGTGCAATACCAGGCCAAATTGAAAAAAAAATTACCGATTCCTCCAAATTTAAAATCATATTTTTTTGCTCCTAAGGCAAATAGGAAACATAATTTAACAATGAATTTTGTTGAAAAATTGCCCCTTTGCGTCTAATTTCGCTTTGAAATGCGTGCGTTTACTGCTCTTGTATGAAGCAAGAGTTCGAAAACATTCCGAAGTACTGTGAAATGTAATGAAATCGACAACTTGACCTTGCCCTTGAGACCTTGTACTACCTCAGCACTGAAATGTTTTTTGACAACGATAATTTACCAGTGTTTCTTGAATATTTTCCTTGTTTAACTAGTAGAACCGAACGTACAAGTGCATCAGAAGACTAAGCGAGAGTTTTGTGTAGAAATGCTCTGTTTACGGGAAGTTATTTTGCATTCGCAAGCGTCAACAAAACTGCGGCATCAAGTTCACAGTTTGATTATCATAGCGATAGATAAAAGCTTTGAAAATTCAATTGAAACATTTTAAACCACCCGTATTTGTACAGAATATATTTTAGTTGTATTAACATTGAACTTCTTTCTGTTTGAATCCAAATTTGTACTTGTTTTGCGTTTGACAAGGCTGTCAAGCTCGCAACGATTGGCTTTTATACCTCAGTCGTGCATGACTACAGATTTTAAATAGCGTGTCAAATGTCTTCTTGTTTGTTAATATTCTATTGCTGTTCAAACGAGATATTCTATATACTGGAAACGTAGAGTACATTTTACTTTGTCTTTGTCTCAAGCAAAAAAAGTATAAAGATTAAACAGGCATTCAAAAATATACAACAACCACGAACATCTCGTAATATTTCTTCGGGGAAATCTTCAAGTTTCAATGGAAATCTGGCGCATGCGCAACAAATTTCCCAGCTGTTCATTTTTAACCCAACTTTTTCTACGTGGTAACTGGTCTAACTGGTAACTGGTCTATGGTTTAAGTGGTTTTCTAAGTGGCAACTGGTCTATGGTATTGATGATAAGATTTGTGAACCAGGGGAACAATACAACTGCGGATTGGCGAGATAAACTGAAAAATACAAGCCCAACTACTGTACGACGTTTCGAGCGAAGGTCCTTTGTCGGGAAGTTTGTGAAGTTCTGCTTGTATTCTTCAGGTAGTTGTATCACTCTCAACAACCTTGTACCCAGGCTCTTTCCTGTACGCTCCTACCTCGTAGGTTACTTTCTCAATCCGCAGCTGCCTTGTTATCGTCGCTACCTACACTGACCGAGATTGTAGCACAGGCTAACGATAACATACAAACCTTTTTTATTTAATTTTACCAAACATTCATGAAGTTTTGCATGAGTCGGATTTACTTTCACTGCCCTTTTCACAGACTGTAACATCAGTAATAATTTATCTAGAAAATGTAAAGTAAATATACACAACTGCAGCTCAGTAGATACTGGGGGCAAAATAGCTTCATTCAATACATTAATTATATTAGATATACATATACATATACATTATATTAATTTGAGATAGGAAGAGATATATAGTTATATCATATCGTCTTGATGATTGCTCAGAGTTGAAACACTCTACCATCACAAGAATTCTAATATGTTTCTACAGTAGGTTGACAAGTTGCGACAATATCTAGTGCGCTTAAATATGTATTTGAACCAGTGGCGGACACTTTGCGAGATATTAGGAGTTGCCATCACATTACTACCCTTTTGTTAGTACAAATCTCAGTTCTTTAAACATTATTGAAATTAGATTTCATACAAATTTCCTTCAATTTATGGCCTACCAACACTTTCATGGGGGTACCATTCAAAGGCTTTTCATTCAAAGAAATTATTGGCGGTTGTGGAGGGGCGGTCGTCTTCCCCTCCTCTCGCGCCCCACCCCGTAGTATCCGCCAATAATTTAAATTTGTGCGTTCCTCAGTTGCTCGACAGCTAAATTAGTTGAGTGTCAGCCCGGTTCGCTGAACATGCAGGTGCGGCCTGAGCAAAATGACTATGCAGTAAATATGGTATAGTAACTATGAAATTAATATAATTTTCTACAAATAGTATAAAGCAGCCTACCTTTTCTGTAGTAAATCTCAAATGCTTGCAAGTGGGTTTCAATGTTATCAGAGCAAAACGTTTGTAATGGTTTTAAAAATTTGACTGCTTCACTCAGCGGGTCTTCAACCTGAAACACAGGATTGTTAGTACCATTCAAACACCCGCAAGCATTTTGCAATATCATGCCAATTGCCAACCATAATATGACACCTGAAGTGGTTTAATTTATAATTTAGAAAATAAGGCCTTCAACTAGCAAAAGAACGGAAATCCAGTTCTGTTTGCATTATGAAACTACTGTACTTGAAACTTTGTAACAGTCATTATTTAGTGCCTGCGAGCAAAATTCATAACTTGAGACAGGGTCTGCAAAAATGCATGGTATTTAGGTTTTGAGAGCTGAATATTGTTAAAATGTTTAATGAGATTTTAAAATGTTCCTGCACAAATTCAAAAGGTGCCCGTTCACACACTTTAATTAAACACATGCAAAACAATAGACATCCATAAATGATAAATTGTTAACATTTTCATTCTTTATGTTTTGACTATTACTTTGTAGTCATGTCATCTCCAGGAGAATGCCACGTTTTTTTAAAATACAACTATTTATGAGCTCATTTTAATGATGATGTTTATTAATCGAAAACAGAAGTACATGACACATGTGAGAACAAAGGAAGGGAAATTAAGAAGGTTGTATTCAAGGGAAATTAAGAAGGTTGTACTGTATTCAAGGGAAATTAAGAAGGTTGTACTGTATTAAGAAGGTTGTATTCAAGGGAAATTAAGAAGGTTGTACTGTATTCAAGGGAAATTAAGAAGGTTGTACTGTATTCAAGGGAAATTAAGAAGGTTGTACTGTATTCAAGGGAAATTAAGAAGGTTGTACTGTATTCAAGGGAAATTAAGAAGGCTGTACTGTATTCAAGGGAAATTAAGGTTGTACTGTATTCAAGGGAAATTAAGAAGGTTGTATTCAAGGGAAATTAAGGTTAAGAAGGTTGTATTCAAGGGAAATTAAGAAGGTTATATTCACGGGAAATTAAGAAGGTTGTATTCAAGAGAAATCAAGGTTGTATCAGAAAATGAATTTCTATTCGGCAACTGGTCGCAATGTTAACAGTTCAACTTCAAGGTGTGGTCACTCCTGAGCAATCGTTTATTTAATGCTGAGAAACATTCTAACCTTTGCCAGAGTGTCTGCGTCAAGTTTATTTTCTTCGCTCCCTTCATTCTTCTGATTCACGTCCTTGGAATCTTTGCCTTCTAGTTAAAAAAGACATATACATATACAATATTTAGTATATTGATATTGAATCCAGATTATTAATGAAAACTTCCCATATAAAAACTCACTAACCAAGCTGGCCAGGTAACTGTAAAAACTTAGATTGTCTCAACAAGCGGGATGAATTTTCGTATATAAACACAAGCAAAATATGTTCCACCTTTCTGCCCATCTTACTAACCCTGGTCAGCCAACCTTTCACATCAACGGCCCCTTAAGAAGCCACAAGGGAACTGAACACATGCCCGCCCCTTGGGAACAAATATGCGGATTGTTCACCCTCGCTGAGTGCATGCATGAAATATTTTGCATGTCTCAATCAGACATCCCAAATGTCCAGTTTCGCAGGTGAAACCAGACGGCCGTTCCCGGGGATTCAGAAACTGATTATAAAACAGTTTGTCTTACTTTCTTGAATTTCTGCTTTCTTTGCAGCTCTCCTTTGTTTACTTTTCTTTTTCTTCAGATCTTTCTCAGATAGATTGTCAGTACTGGCAAGGGAGTCCTTATTACCGTCTGAGAGCGGCTTATCATATAGGTCTAAGTAACACTACAAAAAGAAATATATTAAATATATTTAACCCATTAAGTTGCAATGCGCCCTACTGTATGTACAGTGGGTTTTCAAAACAATGAAAAGACAATGGAACACTCTGATCAGTGGATCGTAACCTGACGGTACGCGCTGGCAATATTTTTCTGGAGAACTACAATTATCCAGCACCAAAGCATAATTGAATGTAAACAAATGTAACACTAAAAACTTCATTCTTGTTTTTAACAGTAAGCCTCTTGTAATAATGCTTACTGAAACTCACCAAATGGAATATATTATAGAGTAAGTTGTTTTATGCAAATGTAGGTTTGTTTCGTCTTGATGAAATATTGTAGATTTCTCAAGATAGCAACAAACCAAACTTAATTAATTTATGCCGCATAAAAAATTGGGACAACAATATTAACTGATGTCCACAATGGCCACGGCATACTTTCATGGTCAACAAAATGTAATTTAACGCTTTTTAAAATTCTCTATCAATTCTCTATCTATAAACATTTTGCTAACTGGCTGTAAGGTTTGTTGTCGTGTATGATGCTATCAGGTTGTATAACATGGGTTGAGTTAAGAATGCAGTAAAACTTTGTTTCTTTAAAATCATCAAGCAATGAATTTCATATACTAAGCCTTGAGAATAAACAGTGAACGTCTCCACATTCGTTTCAAATACATGAGGATATAAACTGGCATTTCGGGAGTTGTTGTAGTTACAGTATGGCATTGTCGATTAGTAACAAGTAGACTTGAAAGGCAGTTGTGATGGAAAGAAACATGAATTTAGGATATCGGGTGTTGTAGTTACAGTATGGCATTGTCGATTAGTAACAAATAGACTTGAAAGGCAGTTGTGATGGAAAGAAACATGAATTTAGGATATCGGGTGTTGTAGTTACAGTATGGCATTGTCGATTAGTAACAAATAGACTTGAAAGGCAGTTGTGATGGAAAGAAACATGAATTTAGGATATCGGATGTTGTATAGTTACAGTATGGCATTGTCGATTAGTAACAAATAGACATGAAAGGCAGTTGTGATGGAAAGAAACATGAATTTAGGATATCGGGTGTTGTAGTTACAGTATGGCATTGTCGATTAGTAACAAATAGACTGGAAAGGCAGTTGTGATGGAAAGAAACATGAATTTAGGATATCGGGTGTTGTATAGTTACAGTATGGCATTGTCGATTAGTAACAAATAGACTTGAAAGGCAGTTGTGATGGAAAGAAACATGAATTTAGGATATCGGATGTTGTATAGTTACAGTATGGCATTGTCGATTAGTAACAAATAGACATGAAAGGCAGTTGTGATGGAAAGAAACATGAATTTAGGATATCGGGTGTTGTAGTTACAGTATGGCATTGTCGATTAGTAACAAGTAGACTTGAAAGGCAGTTGTGATGGAAAGAAACATGAATTTAGGATATCGGGTGTTGTAGTTACAGTATGGCATTGTCGATTAGTAACAAATAGACTTGAAAGGCAGTCATGATGGAATGAAACATGAATTTACGATATGGCAGAATTAACGTACATGAAGTGATAATACACCCTCCCGGAAATTACGTCATCTTGGCTATAGAACCTCGTTTTCGTGATTAAGATGTTGGGCTTTAATTAATGTCACATACACGAAAACGAGGCTCTATAGCCAAGGTGACATACTTTCCTAAAGGGTGCATTGTTGTAGAATATTATTATTTCAAATAGTATCGATATCAAAACATACTTCGATGGCTAACTTTGCGACTGTAAAGTAGAAATGATGACCTCGCAAACTGTCTTCAAGTCTTAGTAACCTAGACAATAGAATATTTTAAATTAGTTACCTAAATATTTCAGTGATCAAGTTTCAACTACAGGATTCCCCACCAACAACTAATACGCTGACAGTCTTACCAAACAATTTAATTTTTGAAACACGTTCTCTGAGCAGAATTTTTAATTCTTTACTATTTGTTGCTGTGGTATGCCAAGATTCCAATATTGGACAGATTTAGATCGAGGACGTGTTGTGCCCATGTACGGATATCCTCGATCTAAATCTGTCTATTTTTCTCACAAAACTGACCACAAATCATTATTCCATCACGGTTCGCTACGTTCGAGACTACATTGCAATTGTTTACATTGCGTTTCTTTCACATTTTTACAAACAAGATTAGTTGACCAAGTTTAAGCAACCGACAATTCTTAATATTGAAAGATGAGCTGAGCATCTTATTCATAAAACAGACAACTAATTCATACATACAACTTCCAACACTGGAAAATATACAAACCTCACATAAGCACACAGAGTCATTTTCCTCAAGCAGTAAGAATGAAAATCAAACTGGTCCTCCGTGATTTCTTCAAAATGCTAAGAAAAACGGCAACAAATCAAAGGGTGCTGTTTTTTAGTGCAACTTTGTAATATATCTAAAGTTTAAATGAGTCGAGAAACATGACCATTCTGACGTATATGTTTGATACGTACGACAAAGTACTCGCGTCCGATCTGTGTGCAGGATTTACAACCACACGTATTCGACTCGTGTTTGTAAATCCCATACAGATGCTAAAGTTGGAGAATGAAAGATCTTCATTTTATTCTATATATCAGTGAATGCTACACCAGGGTTTAAAATAGCAGCCGGCTGTCGGCAGTCGCTGGCATTTTCATATTGCTAGCAGGTGACTTTTAAATTACAAATGCCGAGTTTTTCTCCGTAATTTGTTAATCTTTACGTTAAATTTATAGGCTCTTAATAATTTTTGTGAGTGATGGGAACGGTGGGAGTCGTATGGAAATCATTGCCCACCTTAATTCATATAAAATGCCACGCATAACTTATATAATTTATTTTTACTGTAATTTTTCTCTCACACTTGACTGGAAAATTGAAATTCAATCTGTGTCCTCAAGGTATTAAAATTTCTGCATATTCGTAATCCGATGTTAGTGCATGATATTCATGTTCGGCATATCAGAGCCTGAAACCTGAAAAAAAGCGCCGGTACAAAAAAGGTACATGTACTAAACAGCCTACAAATATATTTAAATTCAAAATATCTATTTTAAACCCTGTAAACTGATTTAAACAACTGAATGTAATTTCAAACTGGCCTAGAATATCATGACACCATCTTTCATTTTCCAAATTCGAGATCTACAATCATTTGTAATATACAATCTAGTTTTTTTACATGCACTCAGATGAATCATTCGTTTCTTGATACATTTATTCCATCCTCCCTCCCCCACACGTTTCAATGTTGGCGTCTTGCAACCAGAGATCACATATTTGTACGCCCAACATTGACCTGGGGGCGTCTTTGAAATTGTGTGAAATTCCAGCATGTGTTCCATAGTTTTTTTTGCAAATATTGTAGGTGTCACAAAAAGCTTTGACTGCATGAATTCATTTGTAATGATTACCTTTTCCATCTCATGACATTTCTTTAAAGCTTCTCCATAATTTCCAAGTCTTTTATACGCACGACCACATTCTGATTGAAACCACATGCATTGCATTTCATTGAGATTTTCCGATGCCAGGCTGCCTTCCTGTGATAACAACAATGAAGGACGAATTGTGATATAAGAGACTACCACAGTAAATTTTGGAAATTAGGCATGAATTTAACGTTCTTAACAAAAATTATTGGCAAGCCTGACAGGCAAGGCATTACATAGTAGAACAATTCAAAAAGCATTTGGGTGTAACAAGAATGTATAGAAAGGATGTTGTCCTGTGTATTAACTTTACAAATCCATTACACAATGATCGAGTTTGGGACATTCAGAATAACTCGAATAACTCATAATTTAGACATATTTACGGTTGTGTGATATGAGAAGGAGGGTATTATAGGCTTTAAAGTGCAACCACTTCTACTGGGTTAAATTTTAGCGAAAAAGTGCATGTTGAAATGTAGGTTTGTTTCGTCTTGATGAAATATTGTAGATTTCTCAAGATAGCGACAAAACAGTCTTACTTTATGCAGCATACAAGTTACAAATTGAGACATCAATATTAGCAACTGACGTCTACAATGGCCACTGCAATACATGTAGCTACTGAGAAATGTTCACCAAAAATACACTAGGAAATGCATTTCAAACATTCGCAATTTACAGAGAAGGAACTTAGCAATCGCAGAACAAGCTCATTGACATCAAAAACAGTGATCGAATTGTATTGTCCCGAGGGAAATACGTATATCTGGGAGATCTCCTGCCTGAAAACGTGTTAATAAAACACTAAATACATCATGCCACAGACCAGTTGTAGGTTTAATCGCACTAATGATCAAACTTTGAAACAGATTGTACACAAACATAAGAAAGTAGTTGAACAGGTAGTGGTCAGGACTTAAAGGTTTTAATCCAGGGTTAGCGCTAAACAAACTGGAAAATTTTGCCAAATAATTAAACGTGATTAACGTAATTTTCCCACAAAATAAAACAATAATACGGTATTTCTCGCCATGCAAGCCCACAAAGAAATGGTCTCAGCCTACATGATTAGATATATACCCTGCCTCATACCCAAGCGATATATTTACTCTAGGCTATGTAGTATTTCGAATGGTAAGCGAAGCACGAGGAGGCTGTTGGGAAGACTTTCTACCCAACAGCCCCTTCGTGCTTCGCTCAACATTGCAATACGCGTCGCACGACACGCACATGCCTGGGCACGAGGCAGTACCTTACAGTCCAGTGGTAAATAGCACTAAGCAAGCATTCAACATCTCGGCCTACCTATCAATGTATTAAAAGCTATCAACATCCTTACCCTGGTAAACAATCCACAAGTTCTTTCAGCTTTTGCAATTTCATTTGCTCTCATCTGATACTTGGCACATTTCGAGTTCACATATCTATCAGCGGTATCTAGAGATCGAGCTTCATCCATCCAAAATGCCGCTTGGACTATATTACCACCATGCTATAAATCAACAACATCAATGTATTATATCAGTGGGCTCTAAAACGTAAACATAGCTGGAATGCACTGTTCATTATACATTACATGCTTCAGTTATACCTCTCAATAAGTTTCAAATGAAAATAATAACATCATATTATTCCTCGCAAACAAGTGGCATCAAGCAGCTATAATGTTTAATTGTGGTATTTTAAACTTAATTTTAACTCAATTTACAGTGAGTGATTGAGTTTTATTTAAACAAAGAATGTTGGTCCCTCCCCACAAGGTTTAGTGCAAATATTTGGTGGGTTAAACTTTAGTGAAAAAAGTGTATGTCCAAATGTAGATTTGTTTCGTCTTGATGAAATATTGTAGATTTCTCAAGATAGCGACAAACCAATCTTACTTTATGCAGCATACAAGTTACAAATTGAGACAACAATATTAGCAAGTGATGTCTACAATGGCCACTGCAATACATGTACTGAAGAGAGTCCACCCTTACATCCTCCTGACGTTCCTTGTCATTAAAAATATCACGCCCTTTAAGCACTTCTCCAGCAGATGTTTCTGAATGTCACCCTGGGAACGAATCTCACCTTATATATTCTCGCCTTTATCATATACGCTTCTATTAAAGTGGGTGTATGTTCCAATGCTTTATCAATATATTCCAATGCTAATTTAGTATTTCCTACAATGTCGTAGTGTTGAGCAAGATAACATCGTGTCCATAATAATACTGTAGGTGACTCTTTCATAGATTCTGAAAAATATTGCAGACAATCTGACATTACTAAAAGATGGAAGTTTAATTATCTATTATTTTCAATTTTAGAGAGTTCAAGCATGCAGTACGCCAATGAAATGATATGTATATTGTATGGGTGCTACTATTTAGAAGAGTTCTACTCGACAACTATTCAGGTCTGTTTTTAATCGACTGCCACCGATCGAAACAAGCGGCGGAAGGAGGCTGTGCAAACTCGGTTATTTTAGCTCCGGCAGTCAAAACGCCGGCTCCTGCTCCGGCAAGAAAATTTTAAGGACATTTCATATTTAAAAGTAGAAGCAAGCGAAAGTATTTCAGTGTAATTTCAGAATTTATTTTATTTAACAACAAACATTTATTTGTACCCAAAATAAAATGTTTACATTTTGAATTCTAGCAGAAAAAATATTTAAGAGGAGTACCTGGTAATGGCTAATAAGATTGAAATGTTGTACATGAGTACAGGTATATGCATATTGCCGCGTAAACAGAGCATGGATGACGTTTAAAACTCCTATATAGACCCATAGACCTTTGTACTATATACTGTACAGTATGATTAATTTCGTAATGTTGAACACCATTCCTCTTCAAAAATTACGGGAACCACTGAGTATTTTAATAAAATATAAAACAACGGTAACTCCGAAAATAAACATTTTAATATTCTAGCTTTCGACTAAATTCAGTCATCAACATCATTCTTGATGATGACTGAATCTTAGTCGAAAGCTAGAATATTAAAATGTTTAATTTCGGAGTTACCGTTGTGTTATATTCCTCTTCAGCTTCGCGTCATTCATGCTTAAACTCCTAAGAGAGAGAGAGAGAGAGAGTGGGCAATTTGCCCTGGGTCCCAGTTAAAGGGGGCATTCTGCTAAAAGGGTCCACCAAATAAAAATAGAGTGAAATATACAGATATAATTGTCAACTCGACTATAAGTCCCAAAGAATGCAGAAATTTTCCATTCCTGGGAGCTCAAACAGTCAGACTTGAAAATCTTTCTGTGGGAGAATATCCCAAGACACAGCTAACTGCTAACATTACGTTATTGCGGACCATAAACATTTCCAATACCTGTTTCATCAAAACAGCTTCGTTCTAATAAACACTTTTCATATTGCAGTACAATATCTTCTATAGACTTCAGCTGAAAAAAGGTCATGGCTGAATAAATAAACAACAGCTCCAAAATTGAATGATCAGGACGGTCATATTCGTACCCTTCGATATAGTGTTAGAGTTTATGTAGTTTAATATTTAATGTATAATTCGAGTGACTATATTTTCAGTTGCACGTTAGGAGAGTACTTTCACAGTAATCAGTTGCCGCGCTTTGACGTTCAACGACCTGATAAACGTGGCGTTTCGTGCGATGGTCCTATGTCATAAGGTGAAAGTCACAAATCAAAGCCAAAATTCGCTACTTCGAACAATTTACCTTTTCCTTATTATCGTATAAACTGCGAAGATTTACAAACAATGGAGGGACACCTTTCCTTATAGCTGGTCTCATATAACGATCAAGTTTTTCAGCAAATTCGCTTCCTAAATAGATATAAAGCAAAACATCATCAGGTTGGTGTACAAGTAGCTGAGTGTTGCCGTCATCATCCAATAATGTGAAGAAACTCTTATATCACCACAAGATGGTCAATGACGTGCTGAAGTACAGTATAGAAGGATGAGGACACTAGATTGGAATGTTGATCGTGAAAATACGTTCAAGAATAATATCAGCGTGATGAAACATGTCTAAATTACTCTGGACAACGGAAAACAGTACATGAATGGAAAAGGGAAGTCTTTTATGTAAGCTAAAAAGACATCAAACACATTGGCATTCCAGTACAGCTACAAAGACGATCAAAAGTACAAACCAGTTAAGAAATTCAGTGGCAATCGTTTTGGACATTGTGCTCTCGGGAACTTTTCTGCCATAGTTCTATAAATCTTCATTCTTTCCTGCGTATCTTCTATTCAATAATCATACAATAAACATAAATTAATAAAGAGAATCACACTGTTTCTTGTCTCAAGTGACTCACTCCTTTGTCCATTTAAAGGAGTTCAGGTAATTTTTACTCTATTCTTATAACCCGTCTAATCCTTATCCTGACTCTAACCCAAGCCATCCCAAGAAGGAAAGGTTGTCAGGCGTGCGGTGGTAATGTGCGACCATTTTTTCATCCCGAACGTACTGGACATTTCATTATTGCAAGGCCTGCAACTAATTTTTGCAAAGCTGCAACTAATTACGTATAGTTTTTTTCAATAAGTTTACAGTGAATCTTGTTATAGTAAGTGACTGAACGAAAATGAAATGACAAGCAACAGTGTATTTAAATGACTTGATAAATATATTTCGCATTACAGCTTAATTGAGGCGTGCGATAAATCATACTTCCTGATCACACGCATTCCCAGGATGGTCTGCTAATCCTACAGTAACTCTAATCTTAATCTAATAATATTTATTGCTAACCTTAAATATAAACTTAATTCTAACACGACAGTAAGACAAACGCAACACCTTGCTATTGTGACGTCATTTCTGGACATTTCTGGGGAAAGTCTCCAGAATGTGTGTCATACTGTACATACTTGGTTGAATTGATTTCTCAAGTTGTTGATAGTATCCAACATTCTCAGGATTTCTATCCAATAACTCCCAGTAATACTTCCTTGCTTCCTTAAGATTATCAAGCTCCAGATTGATACAAGCTGTTGGAAAATGTTTTATTTTAATTGACAAAAAAATTAAGAAAACTAGTGATATTGAGGGTTACAACATACAGTACGGCGTAGTACAGAATCATTGTCATTTTCATCACAGCATTAACAATCGTAGAGCAACTACTTTTCAATCTGATCAGTCAATCATGTTTATTCTAATTAACTGAGCTAATCGAAACATTCGAATACCTGTTATAAACAAAGTTTCTGATACAAATGACGTACCTTTAAGTTCAGTTACCGCTAGCTTATCAGGTATTTGATGTTCATGGGTTATGAGATGATCTAATGCATCCTTCATTTTCCCAGACTCACGAATTATCATATTTTGATATAATAACATTTCACAATGTTCATTATCCAATTTTGTTACCTAAAATACAATCATGGTGGTAGTCATACAAATATGAGGAATATACTGTAAGTCACGAATCACAAAGGCTGTAATATCCCATGGTTCACGTGCACATGCCATTACGGTCATTTGAAGAACAATGAAAGTTAATGTCGCAAGATACAGCGTATCAATCTTCGTTTTTGTAAAATGTAATCTTAACAAAACGCTCTACGGAGCGTTAACTCGCTGGGGCTATACAAATACGCACATTACTGTACATGATACATAAAGTACACAGCTATTTCAATTAAGATTTAAGGTTTTCCCCGAGCTAAGCGGAAAAGTCGAATACGAGCGCAAAAGGCTTAACACAGTACTAAAATGCGGTAGGCCCTACAAGTAAAGTTATATTTAGTACGCTACAGTCTTGGGGCTTTTGGGCTCAAAATACTATAAAATATAAATCGCTAGAATACTGTTGTTTAGTAATACATTTGACATCCGTAATTAGTACAACTTCTAACGCTGAATCGAACGGTGATATTTTTATCCTTATTGCGCCATTAGGCATCACAAATACAAGGACAAACGTGTAGTATAGTCAAGATTGTGTAATATATGTTAATCAGTTGTCCTAATTAGTCATTGTAATATATTCATAACAGTTTGTATAAATAGCATACGTATATCAATAAAGTGCTGATTAAACTACCCGAGACTGAGTATATTATATTGGCGACGAAGGTAAAAAATTAAGGCGTAACATGGCTACGTACGGTCGAATAGATGAATACGACGAGAGTGAAGAATGGACACAGTATGTGGAGCGAATGGATCACTATTTCGAAGCGAATGATATCGAAGACAAAGATAAGAAACGCTCGATTTTCCTGAGTGTTATAGGTGCGAAAACCTATAAACTACTGCGAGGTTTAATACGGCCAGAGGTTCCGAACAAATTGTCATATGAAGAATTATCTGAAGCTATAAAAAACCACTATGTTCCGAAGCCATCAGTAATTGTACAACGTTATAAATTTAATACTCGGGTCAGAAGAAACGACGAATCAATCTCGACTTTTATGGCCGAACTTCGGGCATTGTCTGAACATTGTGAGTTCGGTAGTGCATTAGATGAAATGTTAAGAGATCGATTAGTCTGTGGCGTCAACGAAGACCGAATACAGAGACGTTTACTGGCTGAACCGACATTAGATTTAAAACGAGCTTTAGAAATTGCACACGGGATGGAAACAGCCGCTAAAGATGTTCGTGACTTGAAGGGAGAAATTACACGGCGGTAGACACAGCGACGAATACAAAGAATGTTATCGTTGTGGTGGTAAACACGACCATACAAAGTGCCGTTTTAAAACTGAAAAGTGCCATCAAAGCGGTAAAATTGGACACATAGCGAAAGTGTGCCGAAGTTCTAAGAAGGTTTCAAGCGAGAAACGACTAAAGCAAGGGAAAAACTTTCGGGGGAAAAAAGGACGGGATTCGGAAATGAATAAAATTGAACAGCATCAAAGCGACGAAGAGCTAGCGTATAATTTATTCAGCTTCAAAGACAAAGAGAAAACCCCGCCGTATCGCGAAAAAATGACAGTGAATGGTATTGATATCAACATGGAGATTGATACGGGAGCATCGTTCTCGGTGATTAATGAGAAAACATTGCAAGAAATTAGTCGCGGTAAAGGAAATCTCGACTTAAAACAAACTTAAATTTCCTTACGTACCTACACTGGTGAGAAAATATCTCCGAAGGGAATTACTGAAGTGGTGGTCGAATACAATAACCAAGTTAGTCGGTTACCTTTATTGGTGCTGAAAGGCAATGGTCCTAATTTGATTGGTCGAAATTGGCTTGAAAACATTTGCTTAAATTGGACAAGCATCAAACGACTAGCCAAGCCTAACTTAGAAGAGGTTTTAAACAAGTACGACGACTTGTTTACAGACAAATTAGGCAAATTGAATGGCGTGACTGCCAAGATTTACGTCGACCCGTCAACGAAACCGATTTTTTGTAAAGCTCGGTCGGTACCATACACGATGAAACCTAAGATTGAAAAGGAACTCGAAAGGCTCGAAAGACAAGGAACAATTGAAACCGTACAGTATTCAGATTGGGCAACGCCAGTGGTACCAATCATGAAACCTGACTGAAGTGTTCGATTGTGCGGGGACTACAAAAGGACTGTGAACAAAGTTTCCCGTTTAGATGCCTACCCTTTACCTAAGATCGAAGAAGTTCACAATAAACTGGCAGGAGGGAAAACATTCACTGAGCTCGATTTAAGCCACGCTTACGAACAGATGGTCCTGGACGACGCCTCGAAGGACGTGGTAACGATAAACACGCATCGTGGTTTGTACCGGTACAACCGTCTGCCATATGGTGTATCATCTGCGCCTGGAATTTTCCAAAGAACGATGTAAAGTTTACTCAACGGAATTCCATACACTGACATCCTGCTTGATAACATTTTGATTTCTGGACCAACGGATGAAGAACACCTTCAGAACCTGGAAGAAGTGATGAAGCGTCTTTTTGAAGCTGGGTTACGTCTAAAGAAGTCGAAGTGTCGCTTTATGCAACCTACCCTCGAGTGTTTGGGTTACCGTATCGACGAAACTGGTATTTATCCAGTTGAAGCCAAGGTGAAAGCAGTTCAAGAAGCACCTACACCTACCAATGTTACCGAGTTGAAAGCATACTTGGGATTGCTCAATTTCTATGGTAAATTCTTACCAAATCTGTCAACTGAGTTAGAGCCACTGTACCAGCTACTTCGTAAGAATCAGAGATGGAAATGGAACACAGAACAGATTCGTGCATTTGAACGATCTAAGACTTTGTTACAATCTGCAACAGTGTTAGTCCATTATGACCCAAACAAGAAATTAACCGTATCCTGTGATGCTTCACCCTATGGTGTTGGAGCGGTTTTATCTCATGAGATGCCAGATGGGAGTGAACGACCGATTGCTTTTGCATCGCGAACATTGACATCTGCCGAAAAGAAGTATTCTCAGCTGGATAAAGAAGGATTGGCTATGGTATTTGCGGTCAAGAAATTCCACCAATTTCTATATGGCCGACATTACACTATTTACACTGATCACAAGCCATTACTTGGAATTTTCAAATGTGAGAAACCCGTACCATTAATGGCATCCGGCCGAATTCAACGATGGGCTTTGACTTTAGCAGCGTACGAGTATGACCTGATATATCGTCCTGGTAAAGAAAACGGAAATGCAGATGCTCTTAGCAGACTACCTTTGAAAATTGAGCCAAAGTCTACACCAATACCACAAGAAGTAGTAAATTTGGTGGACCACCTCAATCAAAGTCCAGTGGATGCTTTGAAGATCAAACAGTGGACCTTGCGAGACCCCGTACTATCACGAGTACTTAAGTTTACACTTCAAGGGTGGCCATCGCAAGTGAATGATGAGAACATTAAGCCTTACCTCACACGAAAAGACGAGATTAGTGTTCAAGATGGATGTCTGTTATGGGGATCGCGGTAGTGGTTCCTCCCAAAGGAAGAACGGACGTCCTGAATCTTTTACACGATACTCATCCGGGAATGTCACAAATGAAAAGTTTAGGTCGTGGACATGTTTGGTGGCCAGGAATCGATAAAGAAATAGAAGAAAAGGCAAAGAAATGTTCAACATGTCAAGTACACCAGAGGACACCCCAAAGAGTATCTTTACATCCCTGGGAATGGCCACATCGACCATGGTCCCGTATCCATATCGATTATGCAGGCCCTTTTATGGGCAAGATGTTTTTACTGATAATCGATGCTCACTCGAAATGGTTGGATATTCACATAACCAACTCGTGCAATACTCAGTCAACGGTCGAGAAACTCCGCATGACATTTGCAAATCATGGATTACCGGAGATGGCAGTTTCTGATAATGGTCCAGCTTTCGTGAGCAAGGAATTCGAGGAATTCATGAAAAATAATGGAATTCGACATGTAAAATCTGCCCCTTATCATCCTTCAACGAATGGCTTAGTCGAAAGAGCTGTGCAAACGTTCAAGAAAGCGATGAAGACGCAGAGTGGAACTTTGCAAACTCGTTTATCTCGATTCCTATTTAAGTATAGAACCACACCGCATACCACTACAGGTATATCGCCCGCGGAATTAAGATGGGGAACCAAGTTACGATCACACTTGACATTATTACAGTCAGATGTTGGGAAAACTGTACGTTATGCTCAACATAAGCAGAAGAGACATTGTGATGAACACGTAAGACAGCGTTCAGTCTCCATTGGTGACGATGTTTTCGTGAGAAATTATTCAAACCCGAAGTTTCCATGGACTGCTGGAAAAGTCGTTGAGTCTACGGGCCCAATTTCTGCGAAAGTTGCATTAGATGATGGAAAAATGGTACGACGTCATCAGGACCAAATAAGTTCCTCGAGCACTAAAGATTCGAGTATTATTGCTCCCGAAGAAATTCAAGAAAGTAATACTTCCACAGAGGAAACTCAAGCTCCTGAAACTCAAGCTCCTGAAACGCAAGCTCCTGAAACTCAAGCTCCTGAAACTCAAACTCGACGTTATCCGACGAGAGAAAGGAGAAGACCTAAGAAACTAGACGATTATGAACTTTGACATTCTAAGTGTTAATATTCAAGACGATTATTTAATTAGATTATTTATTGACACATTTTTAAGAAACGTAAGTTTAGAAAACGGACAAAAAAAAAACAAACTTAGGGGGAAGATATGTAGTATAGTCAAGATTGTGTAATATATGTTAATCAGTTGTCCTAATTAATATTAGTCATTGTAATATATTCATAACAGTTTGTATAAATAGCATACGTATGTCAATAAACTGCTGATTAAACTACCCGAGACTGAGTATATTATAGTTTACATGTCACGAATGACGAAAATGCCGTAAATGTTGCCCGCACACGAAGAAATTTTGTCGTTCCAACTTGTCACGAGTAACAAGTACGCGCGACAAGTGCGCTCGTGTGCGGCGGGCTTTAAGCTTTCGATTTTCTTCTCTTAAGTCATTAGTTAAATCTTGATTGTTTGATTGCGAGTTAATGGCCTTTATCTGTCTCACTTCGGTTGCAAGATTCTCTACTTTTGCGCTAATTGCTTCTATTAAGTCATTGTCTTGAGAACTTTGTAATAACTTACCGGTTGATGAGTTATGCAAATTCTGCGACTTTTCGTACGACATGTTATTCCCGTGTTTTTCATGTTAGTATGCCGCACCCAATGTAATATCGCTTCCTCGATTCGCTTTACCTTGAGCTTTTTTGATAAAGTGTTTATTTTACGTACTGACCAGACACGTTACGCACACGTTACACCACACGTTGCACCACACGTTACACCACACGTTACACCACACGTTACACCACACGTTACACCACACGTTACACCACACGTTACACCACACGTTACACCACACGTTACACCATGGCCACATGTTACACCATACATTACACCACACGTTACACCACACGTTACACCACACGTTACATAATAATCTGTAGTAAAACATCCATTACACTCATTGTTTTTAAAAGACAGTTCCATTTCAGACAATAGCGTGCAAAAATAATGAGAACCCCCAGACAGCTCCATCTCATTTTGGCCATTTTAAAGTACGTCGGCTTCCCCTGCCCCTATGATCAATGTTGGAAAAAGTGGGTTGAATTTTCTCTTTTCAGTCATTCATACAACATTGAATTGGAGGTGAGGGGGGCATTTATGCGGTTGTCTCAATAACATTTGCTCCTGATTGTAGGACTGCATTTCTGGCGTTTTCTAAAGCAAATTCGCAAACAAATTGAATGTAAATTGACTGTATTTTACAAAAATGGTAATCATTTCACAAAAATAATTACTTTATTACGCAAATTTTACCTGAAATGTCAACATTTTAACTTTAATTTTACCTGATTTTTACTTGAGTAATTGCACAGTTGGGGGGGGGGGGGTGTCCCCACTCGGTCGTTATGTCCTTGCAGCATACATTTATGAATTGTCGTATAGGTGTTTAATATAAACGATGATAACCTTTTTTAAAAAAATCTAGAGACCTGTGTCTATAAACAGTTTTAGAATCAATAGAATGGACATTCAATGTGTATTTGGCTAGTGTCCAAATGTGTCACGTTTGCTATAGGTAGGTAAGTAGGTAGGTAATACTTTATTTAAAATTAACAGAAATAAGAACACGCTAGCCCCATCAACTCTAGGCTGGTTTCCATGGGGGGCGTGTTTAGATCTTAAAAATCATTAAAAGGAAAATTTAAACTAAATATTAGTACACACATACTGTACACGTTACTATATACAAATAATTAGGAAGCATGTCGCTGTCCAACAATTGATTTAAACGAATGAGGCGACTCGGCCAATTTTGCTTCGTTTGGGAGTTGATTCCAGAGCATAGCGCCGCTATATTTAAAACTTTTTTTAAGAAATTCTCGGTTCAGTTTAGGAATTGTTAGATCAGTTGCTGTGTTTCGAAGATGATAATTAGTTTGATCTATTTCTCTTCTCACGAATGACCCCCGGAGACCTGGCGCAGTGTGGTCGTTAAGTATTTTATACATTAATACTGACTTGGCACCAGACCGCCTATTTTCAAGTATATCCCAAGAAAGCATGTTGAGAAGATCAGCTGAGCGAGTATCATAATTAGCACCCGTTAGGACTCTTGCTGCACGAGACTGAAATCTTTGCAACTTGTCTCTTAGCAACTTACCACAAGTGTCCCAAAGGGGGGAACAATAATCAAAGTAGGGCTGCACAAGACTTTTATAAATCGATTCTAAGGTATGCATTGGAACAAAGGGCTTTATACGTTTCATAGCGCCAATAGCAGCGCTCGCCTTCTTGCATATCATTTCAATGTGACTATCCCAATTAAGGGTTTCATCTAGTTTTACTCCTAGGCACATTTGTGTAGCAATTCGTGATATGAGTTTTGCATTAGCCACAACGGGTTCCTCACACATTATATACGGGTTCCTCACACATTATATAAGCCCAGAAAGGCGTTACGCTGCGAGCCTACGACCTACACAGTCGCTTTTGAGATCTCTATTTAACAAAATTTATACCGTTTCCATATGAAAACAATTCAATGGCATATTATAAATATATTATAAATATCTGAATCAGAAGCAGAACGGAAACGTACGCGTGAAATGAAACTGCGCCCGAACCCTTCTCGGAGAGAATAAAAGGGCAAATATTTTAAAGCATACAATCATACGTTTTCGTTGCTTGATTTCCAGACTTGTCTGTTGCTATATGAATCTGCAGTTTAGCATGTTTGTTTATATTAAAAGCAAACAGAAACCGATTTAGCAAGTAGTTTGAAGTATATATGATTCTCTAAGATGATTATACAGAACGGCCACTCCTTGCAATCAAAGTGTGAAGTGCGGAAGTGGAAACATGTAATATGAGACTTTTCCATCCCCCTCTTAGGCTATCAATTTTCTCAGTACATACATATATACAAAACTTTATTTAAACCACGCTAGCCTCAACAACCGTTGGAAGGCTGGTTTCCATGAGGGGCGTGAAATTGCCTATTTACGAACGAACTTAAAAGAAATTAACTATTTACAAAAATATAACAAAAAAATACCGATGATTTTAACTGCACGATTATACATATACAAGCAAGTTTCATCTCATTCTTTGTTTTAATATCGATTTGAAGGAGCTTTAGGATTCAGCAATTTTTGCTTCATGGGGAAGATTATTCCAATGCAAGGCACCGTTATAACTGAAGCACCTCTTGCCGAATTCTTTTTTTGGCAGAGGTGGTGCTAAATCAGTATCCCTATTTCTAAGATTGTATGTATTATGTCTTTCATTATTAAATTGAAATGCTTTTTTAAGACTGGGTGCGGTGTGGCTATTCAGAATTTTATAGATGAAAATAGATTTAAGATAATTTCGTCTTTCTTCGAGAGGTTTAATTTCCAATTTAGATTATCGAGTAACTCAGATGGGTCACGTAAGCAGCTCCGACCAGGGTCTCTCCTCTACAAGAGGGAAGAACCTGGGAACGAGGTTTTCAACAGTGAACTGTACTGGAACGCTAGCTGTAGATAAACATGCCCATACTTGTCCGAAGCCAAAGTGGCGCTTCTCGCGAGGCTCAGCGAGCAATAAATTAACTTTCAAAAGGACTAGAGAGAGTTTCGAGGAACGTGAAATTCAGTGAAAAGTTTGTTTTTGAACGAAAATCAGCAAGTAAAAGTACTTTTTTTAATCATAAGGTTTCAACTTTGAAGATTCAAACCTGGTTTCCTGGATTGTTCTAAGTATTTTACAACCACTAACAGCAAAAACGTCCTAGGTAACAGCTTGTTATTCAAAATATTACACAAGTTTGAACGTGCCGAAAAAACTTCGCACTTTGACTCCTGAAAAATAACTTTAAAACTGCTCTACGTTCTGGAATCATGTTTTGTATTAAATTTCAGGTATTGTTGAAAGTTTTAGCTTTTTTCCTTGTTGAAATAGAGGGGCCGGTTGTATAAAAACGTCGTTAACTTTAACTATGGTTAGCGTTAATCACTGTAGTTAAATCCTTAACTATGATTAAACACGACTTAATTGCATTGCACAAAACGTAGTTTGTCGGATGATTAATTAATCACGTAGTTAACTTGCGTGGGGGTTGCGTGGGGCGTTTTAAACACAAAATTACATAAAGCAAGCAGTGATTAACAACCGCTGACAAGCATTTTTAACATATTATGGACTCGCATTTCGCAAGTAGGCACGGGGAATTTTATCCAAAACAGTGAAAAATAAACTAGAAAACACGGAAACTCAACGGAGAAGGCCATTTTTACCTCATGTCTACGTTAAACCAAAGTGTAACTGTTTGGCAATTATATATCATGTTTCTTCGTGTAATGGGCCCTACGTCGTCTTCGAGAAATCATCCCGTGCAAGAATATATTTTGTTTTCGCCGAAAAACCAAAGCGATACAGTATGTTGTCCAATTTTCGGACAGTACCACTATTCGGACGAAATATTTTATCGCCAAATTTTTTATGGAGAATAGCAAAAAAATAAAAATCAACCGGTTCAAATGATTGTCAGATACGTCCTGAATCTTGCTCTTTATTTTTGACGTTTTTGCTGTTGTCTTGTGCAAACGTAAACACTTTGAGTAAAAGTCAGTCGAAAATATTTTCTTAAAAATGGCGTAGTTTACGACAATGCGATCAGGCAAGTACACATCAGGAGATTTTTCTGATGCAAAATATACTGCCGAATCATTAATCTTTTTAGCTGAGGGATGGTTAGGTAAACCGAACATTTTACTACAACAATAATTGTTGCTACTGTCATAAAATGTAAGAAGTTTCGGACTTTTAAATTATGAAACAGTTTTTGAGGAGCTTACCAATACTCGGACGATGGCTTAGAGTTGACAATCTTATGCCTAAAATCACGAGTATATTTAACAGAATTATATCTTTAAAATGTTTAAAGAGTGTACAAGTTGTTTATGTTTCGATAAGCTTCCGATTTCGATAATTTTGTCGACTTTAGTTGCATGCGAATTTGGATATTATTATGTGAATCTGTCCACCGGGGAATT